AGTGACATATAAATCCGAACACCCAGTTTAAATGGTTTTATTTTAATAAAATTTTGTATAAGTACTTAATGAAGCATAATAAGTAAATGATAAAAATTTCAAAATGATTGCACTGCTTTAAAGCCCTTTGACCTTTAATAATGTGTGGATGCACCCTGATGTGCTACGCATTCTCCAACGCGCCTAGGCATGCTTTTGATCAGGTGGTCAATGTCCTCCTGTGGTATCTCATTCCAGGCAACCACCAACTCCTCTCGAAGTGCTTCTAGAGTCTGAGGAGGACGTTGCAAATTGAGCAATCTCCTACCCATCAGATCCCACACGTACTCAATTGGGGATAAGTCGGTAGATCTTGGTGGCCATGGTAACAATGTGACATCATTATGTTGAAAGAGGTCGATTGTGACTCTTGGATTATCTTGTTGGAAAGTTGGATCTGCCAGGGTGTCAAGATAGGGTAAAAGATGGGGTTCTAGAACTTCGTGGATATAACGCTGCGCGTTCATGTTACCTCTGATGAAGATTAAAGGTGACCTGGAACCATAAGCTATAGCACCCCGAACCATAACTCCAACAGTGTGATGAACATGTCTTTCAACAAAAAACTGTGGATTCCTCCTTTCACCACGTCGCCTTCTAACCCTGGCACGACCATCGTGCATGCCTAAACAAAACCGAGACTCGTCACTAAAGACAATACTGTTCCATTCCTGATCCCAGAGTGACCGTTGTCTGCACCACTCAAGGCGATTACGTCGGTGTTCTCGAGTTAAAGGGAGGACCCAGTGTGGCCGGTATGAAAACAAGCCAAAACTTCTCATTCGTCAGTAAACACTTCGCATGCCAATAGGTCTTCCGTGTTCTGCAAACCATTCATTTGCAATGGACCTGGTAGTGGAGAAACGGTCCTTTAAGGCCAATAATCTTAGGCGGCGATCTTCACGGTCTGTTGTTCTACGGCGGCGTCCAGTGCCCCTTGCTCTTTACGTACGGCCTTCTCGAAGCCATGCCTGACAACACCTAACCACACTTCTTTGCACTCTAACTGCCATTGCCCGAAAAGAAAGTCCAGCTTCCCGAAGTCCCACTATACGGCCCCTATCAAATTCACTAAGTTGACGAAATCGTACAGGTCTCCGTACTCTAGGCATCGTAACCGATCGTAAAGGATGTCAAGAACCAAAATCCGCCAACGTTGATTCTTTGCTGCGGCTGAAATATTCATTTTTAGAGCGTTAGCGAATTAAAAAAAAGCAGTATAAAAACCGTCCAACTGATAAGGCTGAACATTTTTTCACTTGTTATTTACAGTAAGATAAATACATTCACCAACTTTTATTAAAATAAAACCATTTAAACTGGGTGTTCGGATTTATATGTCACTTAGTATACAAAAGCATCGCAGAACGCTAAAGTGGTACGTACTCCTAATATCCAAATATTGCTAAAAGATATAAATCTTTCTTCTGTATCGGTGCGTCACCACCGCAGACCAGTTGGAGCTTGTTGCACATTGCACAGTCGGCAGTGGCCTCCACGACGATGCAGCATCGCGCCGTGCACGCAATGCCGATTGCCAAGTTATTTCAAATTATGAGCATTATACGTATACATCAGACTTTGGTCATTTAATTTTTCCGTTGTTTCCGGGATCAGAAGCTTCTAATGATAAAAACCTTTGACCATTACCTACTAAAGTCGTTACATTTACAACACCCTACGCTCTACAACCCTCAAGTTTCAACCGCTACAAAAATGATCAGGAGCCTCTGAAACACTAAAAAACGGAGTTTAAGTTTATTTTTATTTTCTCCGTGTTTTTGCCCCTAGATTCGCCACCACTACACCGATTTTCAAAGCATTCAAACTTTTTTCTCCTTGGAATAGTAGTAACCTTGTGTGAAAAAAGAAGAAAGTCTATCTAGAGCCAATTTCTCAACTTACTGGATCAGCGAATTTGAATCTTGGAGGTGCGGGATCCCACAGGCCAATAAGTGAAGCGCGATCCCGCGGGAATGCGGATTCCGTTTTTAGTAATTGCAATTCCTGTTCGACAAGTACAAAGTGTGCTGTCACCATCAAAATACGGTACGTTCATGGCACCATCCTAGCTGTCAATAGATCGAAGACCTTAATACCTGATTGGAAAAGTTCGTTTGAAATAAGAAACTTCGTAAAACCACACAACACAATTAGTTATAGTACAAATGCGCATCAATAAAAATCCTGTGGTAAACCGAGATAAGGGGAGTAGATGAGGGTCATCAATAGGGCCATTTCTTTAACGAACACGTTTGTGTTCCTATAGTTTTTCTACTGGACTTCATCCCCTTTGGTGTTTCGTCTGCCCTATAGCCAGTTTTTACGGCGTATTCACCCAAACTCTTATCACCGCCATTAAGTGTGCTGACAAGTTAACTATTCGCCCTATAAAGGGCATTGGCCACTAGATTGCCAGACTTCACTCTTATTTCTCCCAACAGAAAGTGAGCATAATGAGGGGATTAGACTGAGCAACTTTTTGTGAGGTATGTCCGCATTTAGCGTCTCGAAAAACCAAGGTAAGCCAAGTTTCATTTACTTAGGCCCGATTTTATTAACAAGGGTTCAAAATTATTGATCCGGATAATACGAGTAATGAACCAATGAACAGGCATTTTTCTAGTAATGGATCTAATGAATATAGTCGATTTTTTATATGTTTCAAACTTGCTAAGTAGTATACGATTTGGATGAGAACTTTATAAAACAACTGGTTTAACTACAAAAACATACTATGTTTTCGCTTGATCCAGAGATCAAAACCTATGATCTGGATCAGCAATGAAGCCTGCCGGAATCGTGAATCAAATTTGAGTTAATGCCTAGATTGATATGACATCAATTAGTAAGATCTTTATTACATGTTACTGTTATTACCTTGGCAGCACTACAAATGTATCAACTGTCAAGAGTAGAGAGGGAAAACGAATTCTAGAGATGGGGCGTTCGCAAATATTTGCAAGTGTTAATTCGGGTGATTTGACGCCATGCAATGCATAAACACAATATTCACACCGGAACTTGCAATCTTAATTTGTTGCAAGCATGAAAGAAATCTGTGGTTGTTGTATGTTGATCAAGTTCGATAGTTACTTAATAATCGGTCTTGGCATCTTATTTAGAAAATTTTGTTACAAAAAATGTGCGCTACGATCAGTGTCAGCTTATTTTGAATGTGCGCAATCTTACGATGTTACGGGAACGTTCAGGCTATTGTTAAAGTACCCTGTACGGTGTTGTGAAAAAGCAAAAAAGAAACGAAATGTCACCTGGAAGACAGAAGACAAAATATATTGCCGCAGATGTCAATTATACCACAGTGGCGATCGAAACGTAGCTGAAATCTAAACATATATGTGATTTTGATTCGGTCAAACAATGGAGTCCTATAACAAAGTGGAACAAACGTGACGATCCTGGCATTTGAGTTTGCTTAAAAGAGACATCACAAAAACACATTTGTATGTGTGATCATGACGAAAGCTCGTCTTTTTGGTTAATCGGGTGCGGACAGCGACTGAATTCGATGCCATGACCTTTCAGGATTTTTTGGCGGTCATGTACAGGGTTACTGGTAATTCGCCGTATTCCTTCCAATACTCCTGCTGAAATGCAACAAATTTCATCCCGTATACAAAAGTAACAGAACGGCTCTGTACTTTTCCAGATAAAGTATTTTTGAAAACAGGTCAACAAGGGACTCAACAAGGGTTTTAATGGTGACCTTGGATTCGCCTTTGAGCCTTAAATTCAAAGTCAGTTCAAGGTCAAGGCCACCCTATTTCACACACTTGCAATGGCAAATTTTGCGCTCTAATACGTAATCATGAAGTATTATAACCTTGCAGGTGAGGCTTAGGGTTATCATTCCAAGACCAATATTCAAATCATTGCTGGAACTCACCTACTGAAGATCTGAACTTGTTCTTTTCATCAATAATTTTTATAAACTACATGAAATGTTGCCTAAGTTCTCACATTTGACTTACATTTGATCTTTAGAGCTGACCTTGACGTTGACCTTGACCATGTTCGGAAGTAGAATTTTCCGTTTTTTCAACTGCCGATTTTTACTTTCTTCGTGTTAAGCCTTTTTCTCAGCTAAAACCGAATTGATTTTCAACAACTACAAAGCTTTTACGTTATTCTCATAGTACTCATTGTGTAAAACGTCGTAATCCGAGCTTCTCAAGATATGTATAGGCGGTTACAAGATTAGCGGACAGACCAATAACAGACAAACAAACCGACAGACAGAATTGAATGACATGGTTTTTCGTGATGTAAGTTTACATGTCATATAACATCCAAAAAAGATAATACTTCATTTTTGAAAATTTTCGCGATTACAATACTTCCTCGCCAGTAAGCGTGTAACAATAAGTAAATATCAAGTATTAGAGTATAAAGAAAAAAATGCTAGTTAAATTGATGTGAGTGTGAGTAATTCATATCTTTTTACCATTACATGCATACAAGCATTGTTGGCAAATGACATAGTAGTACCATCTACTAGCAATATACTTAAATCATGGGCATATATATTCCAGCTTTTCATCAATCGGCAATTTGGATAATAAGGGATAATAGGGCAGCACTGCAAAAAATAATCATATAGTAACAAATATCCCCAAGAGAGAGCGCTGCATAAAAATATTGTAGCGTACTCTGTCGGAAGATAGCTTCAACTAATCGAGTGCCTGCAACTTTATAGATTGCAGCTAAGCAGATTCAGGCAATTTGTCTCTCTCCTCTTGGATAACTGCGTATCTTTAACAGGTGACGTCAGATGGAAATATTGTTCTGTCTATGGCATGGCTACGGCGGGCTCATTGCATTTGTAGATCAACTTACAGATTACTACTAAACGATTCTGAACAGTTAACCTTTGGTAGAATAGATGTCGCCGTCCTCTGTAATAAAAGCGCCATCTATTCGATAAGAGTTGACCTTTTAGAGTACATAGAAGGCATACAAAGATCGCTAATTTTAAATATGTCAAGTTTTGTTTCTTCAAACAGGTTGGCAAAGTTTTTAAACTTATGTACACTTTCGTGTCGCTATATTCCCTATCAGGCTATCAATACAATATAACATCATAATATAGCCAAAAGCATGTCTGCGGTTACTGAAGATAGCAACTTAACAACAGACGCAGTGCCAAATCCCAGAGATGAAAATAGGAATGATTTTCAAGACACCCCACCAGAAACTTTGCATGCTAACAGTGCTTTTTTCAATCACAAAAGATTGAAGCAGAAGTTGACAAGGTTAAAGAAAACTACTTCAGCTTTTCCTGGTAAGCAGTTGTTTCTCTTTATCAGTATAATGATAGATAAACATTCTATCTAGACATTTTCCTAAAGATAATACTTACCAGCTCAAAGACCAATATACCAATTTGTAATTTACTTTAATGAAACGTGTTTACAGAACCACTTCTTGACATAGATTCTTAATCTCTAAATAACTATATAATTTTGCTAGCTTTGTGCCAATAATCAATAGTTTACAAAATCTTTTGTTTTTTTACTTTATGTTGGCCAATTTTTGGAGAGTTGTATCATGTTACAAAAATTAGCACCTTGTTTTTATATTTTCCATGCAATTTCAGGCCAGGCTACAATAATAAATATCAATAACTCAAAAGACGTCCATGTAGGTGATACAATATATTACAATGTTTCTGAAGCATTTGAGACACCTAAGCCTAAGGAGTATATTGAAGAAAATAGTGTCATAAGAAATCTGTTCAGTAGTCAAGAACCTGTTAGTCGTGATGACATTCTTTTTGTTTCTACACATGTTAATGGCACCTGGCAAGATGTTGGCAGAGCACTTGACTATTCTGAAGGACAGATTGAACAATTTGTCTTAGATCACAATACTTATGGTATCAAGGAGGTTAGAATTATTTTTCTTAAATTACAAATAAATATTTGTGAACCCTAGGTTTTGTTCATGTTTTTGTTTTTTCATTTTAGGTAATATACCAGCTGTTGCTAGATTGGATGCAGAATGAACCTTCAAGAGCAACTAAAGGAAATTTATCGAAAGTGTTATGGGAAAAAGATCAGAGAAGTGTTGTTAAAAGGTGGTCTGAGAAATTTTTGTGAATTTTATATTTGTATATACTATCACTTAATGTAAGAATATTTTTATAAAATGGGTTTTTAAAATAAGCATAATGTGGTGCTTATCTCAAAAAATGGTTCACTTCATACATTCACTGCAAGTCTTTGGATTTTTTGCCATCAACACAGTTTATGTCATTAATTCTGTATAGCATCTGAATTTCATCATTTCGTTCCAAAGTATCTTCCATATCGATTTACATTATTTTTTGGCTCATGGATCTTGAACCTATTTTTTGTATGCAAATTGACAGAACAGTTGGTGTATGAAATGGGCACATTTTCTAATGTTGAAATGTATTGAATTTTATTATATTTCCCTTAACTTTGTATAACTCTACCATAAAGGAGATTTTATTGATAATTTTATGCTACCTGTTTGGCATATATCATTTTTTTTAATATATGTCTCTTATATATACATTTTTTTCACCACATCTATTCGGTCCAGTCCCATAACTGGTTGCTGCTCTTATTTTCTAGTATTCTAAAAACAGAACGAGAAAAAGCGGTGATATTTTTTTTTTCAGGAAATTCCATTTTCATGCAGTAGCGCAATATCAGTTTCACCTTTTTTGAATATGCATTTGTGCAAAACTTCGCTCACAAAACACATAAGGCTGAATAAGTGGGAGCTGCGCGTTAAACAATGGCAACACCGTTGATGTTTGTCAGATGGTTGCGCCGCCTACTTGCCTGGAGATCTGGAGGAACTATCGAAAGAATGCGCCTGGAATAAGGAATGTGCCTGAGATTTTGTTTGTTCATAATTTAAAATCTGCTGAAAATGATATTTCCGATATGGGAGCATTATTTCATGAACATATATTCAAAAAAATATTCCCAATGAGGGTAATATCTCTTTCAGCAGTTTTGCTGAGAAAAAGGTTCAGTAAAATCCAACCCTGATTATGAAGCACCAAATTTATTTAGTTTCAAAAAATATTCATATGCTGTTGACAATGGCATAAAAATTGCATTACATGAAAATATAGATTTATTTTAAATTAATGTTGAGTATTGCAAAACACAAGTGTCTCCACTTCTTGATAATTTTGAAACATACAGAAAACGCTAATGTATTTCATAATTCTTTGTAAATAAGCTAGTCACTTTCAGTTTGCTCAGTTCTATGCCTTCCAGACATTATCTAACGGTGCCAACTACAAGGATTATAAAGAGTCTGAAGCCAGACATGCAATTTTAAATAATCTACCAAATACATCATGCTGATATGTTAAGTTTACAGCCTACCTGTGGCATGACATGACAGAGTCTCCTGAACTTCTGCATGTCCCACAATAGTCACAATACATCTCACGTATACCATCACAGCTACTGATAGTGTTGCTTTATATTTTATGCTCTTTTTTCTGGACATTAACTAAAACAAGCGTCATATTTGATATTTTTACATTCAAATAAAGAATCCCGGATCCCAGCAAGCAGCACGTCACATGATGCCGGGAATACAGTTACCTCGATTTTCCCTGGAGAGGATGACCTTGGTTTTGCCAGTTCGCTCATAAGACGTTTCACCCAGGGCATACCGCTGTCACGCGGAGAGTGATTGTCATTTGGGTTGATATGGATAACGTGCATATTTTCACCTACAGGCCAAACGGCTGGACGGATTTTCACATATGAGGTGTCGTTGGATTCGTCTTAGCGTGACAATAGCTACATTAAAATTTTATACAAAACAATATGGTGGATTTTAATAAAAGATTTCAACCCTGTAATTCCTATTTCACAGGCTATAGCTTAAACGGCTTCTAGGATTAACATGTTCATGTCATAATACTGTACTACATTTATCCTTATTCCACATAACATCCTAAGTACATGTAAGTGTGAAAATGTACGCAACTCGAAAAGTAGAAAAATGGAGTTATCTTTTTGCAGTAATTTGGTGGTATCACAATAAATGGAAATGACTTAGTCTAAACAACAATTTATTTCCTTTTACGATTTTTCTGGTCTTTCAAACTTTCATTCAGTTCTTAGATCCGCAAGAACATCCTTGACCTGAAAAACAGTCTTTTAGCTTTTTCAGGGTAGCCAATGTTGCTATGTAGTGGTTACTGGAATTTCTGGAGTATCCTCTGACTCTACGCTGCAATAGGTACTCTGAGTATGCGCCTTCGTTTCGCCCCAACATAGATGACCTTATTCTATTCTTAAACTCTAGAGGACTTGTATGGTCATGAAGACCATAATCAAATTCAAGCGGATAACCAAATGGAAATGGTATTTACCATTTTGGGTTGGTATTTACCAATCCGTTCAAGCGAGTGTAGTTATCAGTTTGGTTATAAGATCCGTGACGTCACGAATCAGCTGTTATATGTCATAGTTATCACCGCAAAATTGTGGTATTTGCCCAACTCAAGAGTAGTTTTATATTTCTGGTTATTATTTGAAATGTGACAAGTTAGAATTTTGCCGGGTATTGGATATTGTTATTGTACTTCAGCTTCATTTTTGGGAAACTTGATACAGGCTGACTTCAGTTTTAGCACAAAGTAGAGCACCTTATAAGTTATAATCATTACTGTTGTCGGGGACACTTTAAATCTAGTTCCTATACACAGTATCCTGTGTAGCCATATACCACAAGAATATTAAACTACGGCCATATAAATTCACTGGATGATGTCCACCTGTATACGGTTTTGCTAATATCTTTTTTCATCATTTCTGCTGAATCAATAAATGTTTTCTTTGACATGCGGAAAAATTTAGAGAATTGAAAGTTATCATAGCTACAAAGCCATGGTTCCATCATTAAACAAAAAATCTGAAAAAAACATTTCTCCCATGAATATTATGAAAGGTTTCTTATTTAAACTTTCCATATACAGTTGTAGACGAAAAAGCACCGATTATTAAGTGATAATAAAAATAATCAGAGATTATATACGCGCTTTTCTAAAATAAACAACTTGCAACAAAACCGCGGTTAAAACCTACGCGTTCAAGCGATTCGTGTAACTGACGTCATCAACCCGTGTGTCATCTTGAACCATATTATAACCGCAGTACGTAACACAGAAATTTTGGTTATTCGCTTGGATTTGATTCATCTTTTGCCCTAATTACTCCGAAAAAGTTTTCTATCACATCTTGATTGAGACGTCTTGTTAACAGGTATTGGACGTTGAAGCGTCGTTTAAGATCCTCTAGAGTCTAGAGCATTTTCTAGCAAACTCTAGCGCTTTTTACATTGACTTTGTCTTATCTTTTTGTGAGATGTAGCCATTTTTTGTTTGCTAAAGTTTGGGTCTTGAGGAAAACTGTGGAACTTCATGTCTTTGCAAAGATTCCGTTTAGATTGATTGTCGGAATTACATCCCACAGCAGCACACCGCATTTTTTACCAATTAATCAACCACACAGCGTATATAAGGTATGTATAACTAATACAACAAGTCACAAAACCACCAACAAATCGCACTATATAGTATTAACCACGATACACGTGAACTGTAGTAACGTTACGACAATCCTGTCGCTGGTAACCACGAGCCGATAACTCTCCGGGTGACGTCACGAAGCTCCGCCCACATGCGCAATATCCTATCTTCAGTGTATGTGTATCGTGCGCTTCACCCCCTTGACTTCACGCGCTCTTTTTTCGAGTTTTCCCACAAAAATTAATGTACCCATTTTATGCGTCCATGTTTTAAATACCCCCATGAACAACTTGCGCCAATAAAACCAGACATTAGAATTATTTTGGGGAAATTTGCTAATATGATTATACTACTGTATGTGTCCCATATCATAGAAATAGCCCAGAGTTGCTAATATTAGACACTGACTTGTCAATACATTGTAGAGAAAGAGAATAATAGTAAAAAGTATGTTTAGGATTAATTTCCTCTTTTTCTAATTCCCAGTGTCATGCATTAATAACACACATATGGGTATTGTGAATGTACAATACAGATCCAACATTTATTTCCAAATTATCAGCAAATAAAATAACATTTATAAAGGTATATATACTAATTACATTCTCTTCATAATCAGACTGTGCACAAGATATAGAATCTCAAAAATTACAACATACTGCCAGTTAGTCTCTTTTTGAGGAATGTATTTTTGTATAGAGTACAAGATGCATCTTTATCCCTCCTGAATTGTATACAAAAATAATAAAACCAACAGAATACAAAATAAATTAGCTGAAAAATATCTATCAACAAATAGAAAATCGTACTGTATCGCCAATTGTTCGTACAATTGTAGGACGCCTTTATGGCCACCTTGATTTTCATAGTCTTTTCTCTCCTTCAGAAAGGCTAGGGTATTGCTAGATTTCTACTGTTCGGTGTCAGCATCAGCGCTCTCCTATTGTGAGGTTATGTTTTCTTTTTGAATCTTAAGAAATTTCGGGCTGCTGAAACAGATGATAAAAATCAGCCAGACATATCTTAGAACTTAACAAGAAAATATAACCTCAAAATAGAGCGCTTACCGAAACAGTTGAAATCTAGAAATACCATTGCTTCTGAAGGATGAAAATCAAGGAGGCCATAAAGGTGTCCTGCAATTGTAGGAACGACTGACGGTACGGCCCTTAATTTTCAAAATATTTGTATTTTTGTACAGAATACAAGCTTTTCCAAAAATTAGTGCAATATTTCAGCCGAATTGCATGTAACAACAATAATAACAAAACAACAAATTAGCCCAAAACAGCTACCAACAAGCAAAAAATACTACGAATTTTCAGAATCATTCCTAAGGTTGTGTTTGTGTCAAAAGTACGAACAACACATCCATCTTTCTCCTGAAGTTAGAAAAATGAACAAAATTGAACATTAACTAAGCTGAACAACAATGACTCATAATGAGGATTCTCAAAACGTCGCGTCTGTATTTTTGTACAAAATACAAACTATTTCGAAAAAAGTGCAACATCTTTGTCTCTCATGAACTGCATACAAAAAGATATGAAATGAACAAAACTACTCAATGGGCGCATTCAGAAACGACACCAGTCCTACACGGCATACAGTGTGTCCCAGATTCGCTTCGCTATACAGGGATCTCGGCTGCTGTTATACCCTACAGCAAAGGCTAAATGAGGGAAGTTTTAGAGGAAACTTAGTGATTTCGATATCCGGCTTCAGATTTGGGATCAGTCAATTGGTTTTGAAAATATCAGCGAAAAACCGAAAATATCGGAATTTGTTTTTTGCCAGTAAAACCAAAACGGTTAATTTGACAGATGTCAAAATGTAACATCATTCGGACATTTTTGTACGAAAAAGAAGATAGCATGTAGGTATGACATGTCTCAATCGTCTTTTGTTTTCCAGCAACCCACCTCAAATTTCATTTTTGTTATGGCCGCCATAATGAATCTTTTGATTTTTGAAAAGAGTGTAAAATTTCCAGTCTAGTGATGTCTCATGAAATAGTAGTATCACCGAAATATCATCACACGTAATGTTATGTATTAGTTTTTCCCTAAGGAGGCCATGATTTATTTGTCAGAAAATATAAAATTAATAAGTAACGCAGTTTTTTCATCTAAGGAGGCTCTGGCGACTTTGACGTTAAATAATTCAAAGTATGAAAATTGTGTTTTAATAAGTTTTCGCCGATATTTCCAAAACCAATTGATCGATCGTAAATCTGTGCCGGCTATAGAATGCACCAAGTTTCATCGGAAGCTTTCCCCATTTAACCTTTGCTGTAGGTATAACAGGAGCCGAAATCCTTGTATAGAGAAACGAATTTGGGACACACTGTATGCAGCAACACAACTCCCTGACAGTTACTCTGTTTTAGATGCCGTGCCACGGGTTTTTGAAAAGGCAACCAAAGTGACAGGGCTGTTCCAGCAAAATGCTGAAATCATGTTCAGATCATATTCAGCACTTATTTGAATAGGCCAAGTTAGCAACCTGGAATTTTGGCTAGTGGAATTGATGCCTGAATGCTATGTTTTAGGGCCGTATCGTCAGTCGTTCTTACAAATGTATGACTTCCTTCATTTTCATAGTATCTCCTGACATTCAGAAAGGCAGGGGTATTTCTTAACTTCTAATGTTTCATATAAGCGCTCTATTTTGAAGTTATATTTTCTTTTTGAATCCTCAGATATTGCAGGCTGATGAAACTTGATTTTTATCATGTGTTGACGCTGACACGGAACAGCAGAAATCTAGAAATACCCCAGCCTTTCTGAACGAGAGAAAAGACGATGAAATTCAAGCAGGCCATAATGGCGTCTTACAATTACAGGAACGACTGACGATACGGCCCTTAATGTACTCCACTATAAAAGCCTGCACCGATGCTTGGCTACGTCGAGCACGCACGAATTTCAATTTAACTTAACAGTGAGTACTGTTTCATTTATTTATTTTACTTGTTCGCTCACACGTGTCACCACACATTAGCTTTGTTATATCAGGCATAGTTGTGTCTGAAAAGGAAAACCCCAACTTTGCGTATTATCTCCAACCGTCAACCCGTCACCTACTTTCAACTGCCCATGCCTCAACTTGCTTGTACCAGAAATGTTCCTAATCTAATCAAAACATAATTTTCAAGTAACGAATCGTCGGGAGTTGAGTTACTGTGTAGTATCGTGTAAGCTATGTCGCTGTTACCCCCTGAACACAGCCAGTACTGAGCTGAAAAGTAACTATTAAGAACTAATGAATCATCTTATGAATTTTCAAAATTTTTCCTAAACGCTGTTTCGCAGTCTTCATGCCTTTCCTAGGTTTTGGTGTAGTACTACCGGCAGCACCTGAAGCAGGTGGGGTTGTGCTTGTCGCAGGCCCGGTACTACTTTTCACTTCTGCTTTGGGTTGCTTCACAACTTTGCGTTTGTACTGCCTTTTTGGTGACTGGAAGAGAACATATAAAAATAGCGTCAGGTAGGATGATTCTGCGTTTCCCGTACAGCGCTGTTATCGGTTCGTAGCTATGAATATCTACAAAAATTGAATGGATCAAGTCAATCAAGCAGACCTATACAATTAGTCCATTCATTTTATTCATACGAGCCCTGACACAAAAATGTATCACGTGATCATAATTTTGTTAATATGATGTACGAACAATATATATCAATGTCTTATAAAAGAAAGAAATCATTTTTAACCTTAAAAAATTAAACAAACTTAAGATAAAATTAGATTATGTCCGAACTATTTTGTTATAAGTCTCGTATATTCATCGACAGCCATAAAACCCAATTACAGATAAACACTATACAAAAGGAGATATTATACCCTTATACTTCGAAGTTGAGTCATGTATTTTAACAGTGAGTAGATCTGATCAAAAGAAATGTTTTTTCCTTTAACATTTTTGTGGTAAAATTAAAGTAACAAAGTTATAGCCCTTTAGAAGTTTGAGTACCGCCCTGTCTCAATAATAATATTATGTGCTCGTGTTTGGCAACAACGGATATAATCCGCCTTATCGGTTCATCGCATCGGAAACAAAAAAGCGAAAGAATTTGAAACGCTGATCACGATGTTTTTATTCAGTCTGTGTCAGTCGCTAACGCGTGAGTGAATAGTGGTGTTTGCTGCGTGGCTCAAACGAAATAAAAAATGGCACATGTTTATGCAGATCGGTTTCCCAATCGAGTGCAACCAACCCCTCGTGCCTTTGTTAATGTACTTCAATGGACTCGTGAATCAGGTGACTTAAGACCTCACAGGGGAGTTCATGCCGGTGCTCCAAGACCTCACGATCAAATACAGGTCCGCACTGAAATACTTGTCGGGAGGATACTTCATAAAACAAGGTAACATTTTTTTTTATTTTTACACACATATTTTGGTTTATCTTCCTTCTACAATAATTATCTGAAAATTAATGACTCAACTTCAAAGTCACCCTGTATATACTTGAGAAGTACCGCTTGATTTTTACATAATGTTACTACAATGCCAAGGACGTAAAAGCTTTGTAGTTTTTGAAAATCGGTCCAGTAGCGGCGCATAAAAAGACCACAAAAGCGAAAAAATAAAAATCGCTCAAAATTCGTTTTTTGACGTTTTGGAGGGCTCTGATCTTTTTCAGAAAAAATTGTAACGGTTGAACTTTGGCGTTGCAAGGGGTGGTGGAAGGGTATAAGAAATCTTAGTATATTTATACGCGTAGCATCCCGGTTATTCTAGGCACCTATTAGCCATATTTCACACATCATAGATTTATCTTTAAAACAGAGTGATGGAGAAATGTTTTGGATCTGTGTTCTCGTGCCTATCTAAGCCCACCGCGTGGCTAACCTTATATTATATATATTGAAGCTCAAAAAATATTTGCCTGGACCTTGTACGAAACGAAAGACAACTCGCTGCAGCGATGCCGCGCAGATGTCGAACGGTCGGTAACTACTAGTAGGGCAGGGGAAGATTGCCTATGGACTAATTGTAAGCTACATAAAAATAAAAAAACCTATTTCTTTCTTTTATTTATCGAACCTTTTCTGGTGGATGATGAAGTCTCTTTGCTGCTGCGGCTTCCAGTACTTTTTCCACAGATTGTTTTTTGGTGCCTTCTCGCGCGGGCCTGTTCGTTTTCGGTAGCAATGGTCCGACACGAGCCTTTGGGTTCCAAGCTTCGTCTACTTTTGAACGTCCGCGTGGTTTGAAGATATGCACGTCCTCGTCGTCTGAATTGTCTAAAGATGGATATACTGCGATTGAAAAACATGTTTATGTGACAAGTGTTCACCTTCGGAAATCTGTATATATAAATGGATATTTTTATGCAATCATTATACAGGGTGGTTCCAAAATATGGAAGTCGGGTCGACTCTCACATAGAGTGAATGTGCCAGTAACCCGGACACTACCAGTAGTCGGACAAAATGTTATTTATTAAAGGAAAAAAATAGTTTCTTGTTCATTTTTATATAGTTTCTATGTATTGCATCTCTCCCCATGTTCTGGAGACACCCGTATTTAGCCTACTCATTCACAGAAATTCTAAAAATCCCATGTTCCTATGAACTTACCATATTCTTCATCCTGATGAACGTTATTGATATTCTCTTCTGTGAGACTATGGGTATACTTTCTGTTAAGTGGTTTGGCCATTGGCCAATTCTGGCTGATAGAGAGCATGCCTGCAATCGCTTCTTCGGTTGAAGGAGATGTGCCACCACCCGGTCTATAAGAAAAATATATAAAGCACATGTAAAACAAGACCTCAAGCATTGATTAACATATTCTCCATCGTCACAGCAATGCTGCCAAGTAATATCGCGGTAATTCCCTTAGAAATAATGAAAACAGTATTTATTCCTGAAACTTGGTATTCTGCTGATTTCTCAACGAAGTTGCCACTTTTTTACAGATTACAAAAGAAAGAGGTTGGCTTGCTAGGGTCTCTGCGACCTAAATGGACCTATTGGGGAACCAGATATATAGTTTCTAAAGCACTGTGTCCAGCCTTCATCATAAGTCAGACTCCATAGCCTTGACACACGACCTTGCATGTAGCTTTCCGCTGTAGGACCTATGGTTCCTAATACCTTGCCAGGACTTCACAGTCACACAGGAGATGCACTGCAGAGAGCCTCATTATGTCGATTTAGACGACAGTGTCCTGTCAGGAGGCCCAATATGATCCTTATGGCCTTCCTATTAAATCCGAGTAGGTCCTCTGTGAATGCTTGGCTGTTCCACCATTCTAGAGAGTTTCTTGGTCCAATTTCTTATGGACTGTTAAGTGCGTGTTCTCGTCACGCCACAGAAACACTCTGGATCTACGACGCGATTGGCCGCACCCTGTCGGACTTATAGAGATCTTAGTTTTTGACCTTGTCCCATAAATCCCAGCTCCAGGTCCGTCTTGAGTTTTCCAGCCTTCTGTGTACCAGTAGCTTTTGGCATATGTATCACTTCCTTTCTCCCATGCTTTCCTTTCTGGTACTATTGTTTGATAGTTTTAATCGAAGTTGTACACTAGGACAGTTGTGTTCGTGGACATTGCCAATATAGGATCTGCTTTCAAGTCCGTGTACAGTTTTTGATGGTCGTTTCCGTGCTGCCGACTGATCCGTGATTGGCCTCAAAAGTTGGCACCTTACACAGTGTAGTTCATATAATAATGAGTAAACTTTCCTACTCACACATATCAAAATCTTAAGATAACCGAGGTACTAGTTTCTGAAAAAGTCTGAATGAACCAAGCCAACACCCAACGTCACAAAATAGGACATGCGTCAGTATCTAAATCAGGCGCCGCGCAGTGCATAGGATAACCTATTCACAAATCAGATTTAAAAAATCAAAATTGGCACATTCCTACAGCAATAACCATAGTTATCAAATTGATGTTAGTTAACCCTGAGCGTCTTCAATATGCTATTGATACTTCACGAGTATATTTAGATCGTTCTCCAGGGTGTTTCCATCCCGCAGGGACATTACGTTTCTTGAACAGTGACATTATGTCGATTTTTTTGTCATTATATATTTTTTGTGACTATGTAGCTTTCCTATAAGATGTCAATTTGGAAATAGCTGTTATTTACTTGATGTGCACTCGTTGTGTAGCTGTGCGTGTTGCCTAAACGTCATCATGCTTGAACTATCTTGGTTTGGCTCTGTTGTGAAGTAACATTTGCTTCAGATTTGACATTATTGGAGGTTGAAGCTGTAAGTTGTATACTTTAGACGAAACGTCAAGTAGAAAATACAAATCAGCGCCTAGATGTGAGACACCGCGAAAATGTTTTGTGTGTGAGGAGTCATTCCTAATTTTTCTGTGACGTGGCTTAATTAAACACAACGCGGGCGCGGTGATGATTCCTCGTAGTGCTTCTCAAAGTTTTTGAAATAGCAAAAAACGGGGAAAATTGTAATTTATAACTTTAAAAATAATCTCTCTTCAGAACACAAATAACCAGTCTGGTACTGCTAACAGATATACTTCATGGGCAGCATATTCAGTAACAATTTTTTCACAGCAAATATCACTGATTTTATACACATGCAGTATTAATTCTTTGAATCGAAGTGAAGTGTGACAAAAATTACCGAAATAATTTGACTAACCTAAAGCAGACCTAGAATCAGTTATGTTTTTAGCAATGCGTGTATTGTGACGCGTCTGCTTCTCCACAGATTTGAATCCGCGCATGTCGTCTAACGGTCATGGCCCACGACGTTTTAAAACACCTCTACAACGGTAGCAGAAGATTCAAAACGATAAATCTACCATAACAACCATAGCTTTGGTAACCCTGTCAAGAACCCACATGACTTTGCAGGCCTATGGCGAATTGCGCAAAAAGTAGTTTACTTACGGTGGGACAGACAATGCTGAGGCGTGTATAAGTGACTCTATACCACTGGTCGGTTCGGGGCCATCTCTGCTTCTATGCCTTTGCTTTTTTACTGAAACAACAGAATATTATCAAAGGAAAAAGTTAAATTCAAAATTTGATTAAGGTATTCTCCAAGAAAGTGTTAAGCCTGATGCTGTATTTGGACGTTGACATACAAGGATCGTAGTAATTCCATCAGAAGTAATAAGAAAATAAATCAGTTTCCTTTTGAAGTATATTGTTTATTCTTAAACATGACATCAACCCTCCAAGGAAGGATCACCCCGAAACCACTGTCGTAACTATTATTAGAGTTTGTATTCTAGAATTCCTCAAGGACAAAAAGGAAATCCTATATCCTGCGGAAACAGACCGAAATATGGCAACAAGGACACCTAGAGACGAGGTATACAGTTGTAAGCACAAGTGAAGTTTGACCATCTTCTGATGGAATGAGTTTATCAATAATTCAATATATTACCTGGCAAACACGTCTTTATCCCAGATTTCTTCTGCTTTTTCTGAGGGCTTTCATCTAGGGCAATGTTTAGACAGTCTTCATCTCTATCACTATCGTCATGAAAATCGTAAATGTCCTGGGAGTCCAAATTGCATAAGTCGTATTTGTTTTGAGGTATATGTTGGCTTAATATATGATTTTCATTTATTTGAGGTAATATATCTTTCGCTCTGGAAATAATTTCAGATTCCAACCAGATTATAAAAAAATGTCGCAATCTCTCTAGTCACATTTAAAAACGATATATGATGATTGAGTGCCGTTTCAGAAACGATCTCCTCTTGGGTTTCAAACGCACAATACCACTTTAACCGCTCCCACACGTGTGGTTAGGCATCTGACAGACTTAGATTTTGGTCGCTGAAGACAGATCTGAAATTATTGTTTCATCGTTCATTTTGTATGATTTTTCCTTCAGTTTTGAAGGTTCAAGCGCGAGACTGACACCGATAATAGACAGTGGTACCACCATACGTCGAACGTCCGGAACTAAAAAATTCATCCCATCGTGTAGGAGACACACTTGCCAATTGTGGGGTGTCGAACGTTGGAAGCATCGTGTGGGACCCGCATTACTTGAGGAACGTTCAAGGGAGTATGTAACATTTGCAGTTATATTAGGCTGTAACAGCCAACAGGCTGTCATCAATGTCAAAAACATTTTTCTTTGTTGTCTCTATCAATTTAGCATTTTGATGAAAGGTTTTGGGCGGTTTGATTTTTTGTGCTAAATGTTACTCAGCAATGCAAAGTAAAATTGTTCACTTTCTTGCAATACTAAGGACATACTGCCTAAAAGTTATTTTACGCACAATCTGTAAATTAATCTATAAAAAGAAATCCGAAGAGAAAATGTCATTAGTACAGATACTAAAAAGTGGAACAGAACAGTTGAAAATAAAACAAATACAGTAGCGGACAAAAGTTTAGAAACAAATATTAACATTATTATGAGCTATTACATATACCTAAATTAAAATTGTGAAGGAACAGATGATATAAATATACTAAGTATATCTAACCTACTCCGCTCTGCTATAAAATCGCTAAACAACCGGAAAAGCCACAACTTTTCATTACTACTTTGCATTTCTTAATAACATTTAGCACAAAGAAATCAAACCAAACCAAAATGCTAAACATATATGGCCAGCAAATAAAAATCTTCCAATCGTAGCCTCTGATGAAAACTGTAATAGTCTAATGTGAAATTCAAATCTTAAATCCTCCTTTGAAGTGTTGCTGTTCGTTCAAGATCCAGGGAGAAATCATTCCTCAAATGGCACTCAATCCTCAAGGGACATTTATCAATGTGACTCTAAGGAAGCGTTGACATTGAAAATAACTGCTAAGTACAACCCAACTCGACAAATGTATTTAAATACAGGTTCACAACAGAGATACGACGTCCCAACTAATTGCTCAACAAGCACTGGTACTTGTCGGTAGTCGGTTTGGAGTTGCCAACCAGTTGGTAAAAGATCAGTGGATGTCATTGTGACGCGTTAGCTAACATGCCCGTGGTCTTGCTTCTCATTATCTATGCTCTGACTGTTCCAGTCACCCTTTACATCCAATATCACAGCCTCCAAATAACTACATAATAGCTATAAGGTGCTGTAGAATCTTCAACTTAAATGTCCCTAAATTACTACTTACAGAGGTCACACTTAGCTCTAGCTAGGTAAAAGATCAGTGGATGTCATTGTGACTCGTTAGCTAACATGCCCGTGGTCTTGCTTCACATTATCTATGCTCTGACTGTTCCAGTCACCCTTTACATCCAATATCACAGCCTCCAAATAACTACATAATAGCTATAAGGTGCTGTAGAATCTTCAACTTAAATGTCCCTAAATTACTACTTACAGAGGTCACACTTAGCTCTAGCTAGGTAAAAGATCAGTGGATGTCATTGTGACTCGTTAGCTAACATGCCCGTGGTCTTGCTTCACATTATCTATGCTCTGACTGTTCCAGTCACCCTTTACATCCAATATCACAGCCTCCAAATAACTACATAATAGCTATAAGGTGCTGTAGAATCTTCAACTTAAATGTCCCTAAATTACTACTTACAGAGGGCACACTTAACTCTAGCTAGGTAAAAGATCAGTGGATGTCATTGTGACTCGTTAGCTAACATGCCCGTGGTCTTGCTTCTCATTATCTATGCTCTGACTGTTCCAGTCACCCTTTACATCCAATATCACAGCCTCCAGATAACTACATAATAGCTATAAGGTGCTGTAGAATCTTCAACTTAAATGTCCATAAATTACTACTTACAGAGGTCACACTTAACTCTAGCTAGGTAAAAGACTAGTGGATGTCATTGTGACTCGTTAGCTAACATGCCCGTGGTCTTGCTTCTCATTATCTATGCTCTGACTGTTCCAGTCACCCTTTACATCCAATATCACAGCCTCCAAATAACTACATAATAGCTATAAGGTGCTGTAGAATCTTCAACTTAAATGTCCCTAAATTACTACTTACAGAGGGCACACTTAACTCTAGCTAGGTAAAAGATCAGTGGATGTCATTGTGACTCGTTAGCTAACATGCCCGTGGTCTTGCTTCTCATTATCTATGCTCTGACTGTTCCAGTCACCCTTTACATCCAATATCACAGCCTCCAGATAACTACATAATAGCTATAAGGTGCTGTAGAATCTTCAACTTAAATGTCCATAAATTACTACTTACAGAGGTCACACTTAACTCTAGCTAGGTAAAAGACTAGTGGATGTCATTGTGACTCGTTAGCTAACATGCCCGTGGTCTTGCTTCTCATTATCTATGCTCTGACTGTTCCAGTCACCCTTTACATCCAATATCACAGCCTCCAAATAACTACATAATAGCTATAAGGTGCTGTAGAATCTTCAACTTAAATGTCCCTAAATTACTACTTACAGAGGTCACACTTAACTCAAGCTAGGTAAAAGATCAGTGGATGTCATTGTGACTCGTTAGCTAACATGCCCGTGGTCTTGCTTCTCATTATCTATGCTCTGACTGTTCCAGTCAACCTTTACATCATATATCACAGCCTCCAAATAACTACATAATAATTATAAGGTGCTGTAGAATCTTCAACTTAAATGTCCCTAAATTACTACTTACAGAGGTCACACTTAACTCTAGCTCAGTGTGCTAAGGTCAACTAGCTCTGAATAGTAATTGGAAAACTTGTTTTATTTACAGCCAATAAATTAAAGGTAATCATTCAACTAAAAATAGGGATGCACAAATATAATTTATTTTCGCTTATTGTCTTATAAACAAAAAATGTCTTTCTTGTGATAGCAACATATTTTGGGAGAAATTGGGTCATATTTTTATCAGCTTTATACGAGATTTGTGTGTGATTTGTGCATTCAACCCTTACTGTAAGCATTTTTCGATTCAAAGCTGATATGTAACTAACCCTATTTTGAACTTAAGGACAGTTCCTCCTCTATGTATGGCAACTGTTTCCTGAGGCCTAATCACATCATTACCAGGCCAACCTTCTTGGCTAATATTTGCCTGACCTGAAGTCAAATTCATCTGGTCGTAAGGGTATAGGAGAGGTTTTGGTAATGTCAATTTTAGGGGTGATTGCACTTGCTTGGGGTACTTTACAGGCGGCGGCATCTCCACTATCGGAGCAAACTGAAACAAATTCATATATTTATTAGGTTCGTGATTTTAAAAAAGATATTACGTAGCGCTTACCTCTTGCGTTGATTTTGGTGACAGAGGATAATCAACAAAATCTTTATTCACAGGCTTCTTTCTTTTTCTTTTAGATTCACGTTCAGGCTTCGGAGGATTGAGATGATTTATATATCTTTCTGCATGTCTTATTTCTTTTCCCATATCTTTCAGCAACTTTGGGATGTTTAGAGAGATGGGGATTTGTTCTCTGACAGACGTATTGTACTGGAATATTTGTTTACAATACGAATAATTATCTTTAATTCAAGTATACAGACATTCACTAAATTTGCAAATCGCATCCACCGTGTTTATTAATCAAATTTACGATATTGTCCCGAATCACCACCCTGTAAGGCTTAACACGCGCCAGCTCACTAGCTCAAAGCCTAGGAATAGGTATCCTAAACCATATCTGCCGATGAGTATGTATTCTTATAGTGCAGATATTTTTTATTATAAAAACTAATTGGTGCCTACTATAGTAAGTACTTCCTTTTTATGATTTTACGTTCAATCAAGTTGATTTACGTGCACTTCTGCGTTTTATGCTGCACCAATCACGAGTGCTCTGCTAGGATCCGCCAAGACACAACCGTGACAATATTGGCAAACAGCATTCACTATACAGGGTGTCCGCAAAGTTGGGGTTTTCCTTTACACGACGTGTAGATCTTGAAAACATAAGCAACTTTTCTTAGTACCATATACACCAATGTCTTAAGGGAACCGAGATAAAGGGCTCTGCAACATCAAAAATATCTGAATACCGTCCTGTAGCCACGACTCGCGATATCCCCAACTGGCACCGGCTACTAGCTCAACCCGACGACAGAACTGGGTCGGGGGTCGGAGTCAGTGTGTCAGGTCAGTATGCAACCTTCAACCCACGGTTACGGTCACGCGTGTAGAGGTAATCGCGTAGACGAGAATCCCTCAATAAGCACTAGAGACGTGGCTAGAGAAGTGCAAGTATCAAAAACTAAAGTGTGACAAACGCTGCGTGAAGAGGGGCTGTATCCGTTTCACGTCCAACGTGTACAAGCCCTTCAACCTGACGATTTTCCAGCAACAGTGCGGTTTTGTGAGTGGTTGTTGCATCAACATGACAATAATCCGGACTTTTTGAAGTGCAAATTGGTGACAGACGAATCTACGTTCACGCGTAATGGGGTGAATAACTTTCGCAAAACTCATGTTTCGTCAGTAGAAAATCCGCACGCTGTCCGTCGGGCACATTTTCGGTGAATGTTTGGGCTGGCATGCTGAACGGTAGGCTCATTGGACCATTTAGTCTCCCAAATCGATTGGACGGGATGCAATACCTAGACTGTTTACGTCTGCTCGGTAGCTCAGCTGATTTCATTTTCTGTTGGAGCGGTATGATTTCGGGCAGAGACGTACTTAGCCCTTCTCGTCAACTGGAGAGTGAGTACTTTTTCCTTTATTTTTTTTTACTTGGTCGCCCTCGTTTCACTACACATTACCTTTATTATTTCAAGGGTAGTTGTTTCTGAAAAGGAAAACCCCAACTTTGCGGACACCCTGTATTTATCATATATGTTCACATGTCACATATGTGATCAAAATATTAAAATCCTATGTTCCCTCTGACCTTAGGCAAAAGCTTGTTTATAGAAATTTGATTCACAATTTGAATATACGCAACAACCATCTCGTCACATTGCCACAATACAGGATCGCCATATTTCAACGCTCTTTTACGTACAATGTGGTGAAATTAACAATTCCATTTGACAAAAACTTTATTAGCAACTTTTAAAAAAAAACCTATGACATCTGTTTATTAAATGCTTAATTGTTTATTTTTGTTTTTTTTTTCTCCAATTTAAATAGTATGTTCAATGTTCATCTTATGTCTGTTACTGATGCATATTATTAGTACAAAGGCCGACTAGGCAATATACTTGGATTACATTTTTTTCTATATCTGATTATTTTCCTTTAGGCTGAATTTTAGGTTAACGTAGTGATAAACTTAATACATGGTTAAGTATGAATGGCCAGTGGCCAGATTTTGCCATTTGTAACTGTAAGCATTTGTTACAATAAAGTCGGTTGAATGGAATTGAATATTTGCAAATTGCTTTCATCCATTCATCATACGAGGTCTGTAAATGAAGTGATAAGACTGACAACGTAGCGTTCGATCTGGCAACACTGGAGACACCGGGCTTGGAGGAGAGACGGGATCCGCCTTCAGTACAAGCAAGTTTGAACTCGCTTGAGTCATTTGGTTATCCGTAGCGTTTTTTTTTGTGAAACAGTTTTTTCTATCGTGTTCTAAAAGTTAGTGACATCAATTTCAAGCAACGGTGTGCTACCAGGTTTTGCTTCAGACTTGGGCACAGTACGACGGAAACTCTTGCTAAACAAGCTCACGGAAATAGTATTTTGTCAAAAGCCCATGTTTTTCGGTGGTCTTAGGCATTTTCCGAAGGGAGAGAGTCGATTGAAGACGAACCACGAAGCGGAAGGAGTTTATCTTCAAGAACCGATGAAATATCGACAGAATTCGGGATATTGTGCGTTCAGAATGATCGGGAAAGATTTAAATTTGACTCACACCACCGTTCATCAGATCATAAGCAACTGCGTCTTGTATCACGATAATGCTCCTTGTCACATAGAATGTAAATAAAGGATTTTTTGTCCAGTAAAAACATTCTTGGACAGTCGAAAATTCTGACACGGCTATACCCGACCAGCTGAAGGCTATTGCAGTATCGGAGTGCCAGCACTGCTATGAGGAGTGGAAGCACTATTTCCAGCTCTGTATGGATTCAGAAGGAAGTTATTTTGCGGTGACAATATAATTGTAATTGTAATTATATTTGAATAAAAAAAAATTAAAAAAACTGTCTCGTTGCTTAATTTGCAGACCTCGTATTTACCAATCGCATGCACGATATTTGCAAAAGCTTTTTTTAATAGCAATAAAAAGCTCGGAACTCTTTCAGCTGGTTTGACCTTTTGGCCAAGGCTATCGGTCGTTGAAAGTAATATTTGGTTTTTGGGTAGCATCGCCTTAAGAGGTTCAAATACGAAAAAAATTCCAGCGAATTGATTTAACTCCTATACTGCTTTTGTATACTTACATCTTTTTCGCTATTCCACTGTTTCAAAGTTTGTAGCAAAGCTTTCATCCCCGCTAATAAGTACTCGGGGCATCGACTTCCTAACATATTTATTTCAGTTAATTGTTCTAGCAGGTACGTAGCAGCAAACCAGTTTATCATTTCAAAGTTGGGGTACAGGTACTTTTTTGCAGTTTTTATTTTCTTTTCTATCTCGTATACACTGGAAAAATATTTTGAATGAGTGTACAGGCGAGGCAAACCAATGCTAACAGCTTTGATTAACGTATTCTACATAAAAATTATCAGAGATATAATGAGATATTCTGGTGTCTCCTATGAGAATTTGTCACAGCTATACTTTTCTCCACAATAATTATTGGTCAACTTTGAAAATGTTAGTATCTGATAGATGGTTTTCAAAGTAAATTTCTAATCAATGTGGAGGAAACATGACTCAATCTCGGGTAATTTTTTAATCAATGTTGATAGTCACTGATGCTAAGGCAACTTATTAGGCACTTTTTCCCCCAGACACCGATTAAGGCGCTAAAGTTTGTGACTGATTATTTAGTATACATTGTACGGTATATATTTAATATCTCTATGAATACAGAAACATTTCCGGATAGCTTGAAGCTAGTCACCATCATTCCTATTTACAAGAAGGAAGACCGAGAGTTACCCGAAATTATAGAGGGAAAACCGTCTTCAAAATTATTTGAAGCAATAATTGTTCACCATAGACTTAGCAACTTCATCAACGTAAGCTCAATTTTTTGAGCAAACCGATACTGTTTTAGGCCTTTTAGACCACAAATACAGCTGCATTCACACCTTCAAACTATACCTACGAGTCTGTCGTTAGTGGGCGATAGACCCAGGCTGTCCTCTTCGAGCTGTTGATTGCATTAATCATAACCTACTCCTTGAAAAGCTCAGACATACGGAATTCACGTCACCAGTAGATAATTTGAAATCTTTTGTATCGAACAGAAAAATAAAAGTATGAGCGAGTGATACCACATCAGATACATTTGAAATAAGCGTGGGGGTTCCTCAGAGATGTAAGTTATCACCCATCTTGTTTCTGCTGTTTAAGAGTGATGTGAGTGGGTCCTTTGTAATAGTGAGAACCTCACAACCCAAAAATAAGGCAAACATTTGCGGAAAACAAATTGATAGTAAATACATCCAAAACAAAGTATATAGTTTTCTATAAAAGGCGAACTGTACCTGCCAAAAATTTCAGGGTTTTTACATGGACAAAACACTTTCTTGACAAACACACATTGAGTATGTGGCTAGTAAGCTTATAGCTCAGCTAGTTTGCATTAAAAGTCCTACTTGTTAGTCATGGGTATCCCTTAGATACTTATTTTGCAATGGCATACTGTCACATGAGTTACCTGATTATATATTGGTTCATTTCTTGTGACATACAGAGAATATTTATTCTACAAAAGTGGCTGATTAGATTAGTCTTTAGTAGATCAGTATTTAAAGACAATAAAATTTTACCGCTACCGTCAATATTGATTTACGAGTCATGCTTATTTGTTAAAGAAAACAGATTTATTCCCCCAGACCAGTGACGTACGAATACAATAACAATACTAGACACAATGTGTGCTTATAAGAAGAGTCCGATGCATTTATGTAGATATTGAGTAGATTACCAGCTCATCTTCGTTTAAAAATAAACTTAAGAACATTTTGCTAAATAAGGCATTTTATAGTACAAATGTGTCTTTGTGCGAGTAACTTGTCATCATTATATGTATTTTTATATCCCAAATTTTTCATGTTATGTATTAGTTATCATTATTATCTTCGATGTGCTTGGCGTTTTGTATCCTGTGCACATGCTCACACAAATAAAGCATTATTCTATTAGCGCTAGTCACCGAGAACGCCCTTTTACACTAACGACAGGACGGTCCTGGGTCTTATCCTAGTCTCAAATTCTGTTAATTGTTATAGTATTTAAATGAGCATTACCTCAACTGCATAGGTATATTGAGGTGATTCAGGAAATTCCCTCCAAAAACGAGAGAATCCACTGGAGTATAAACAGCATGGATCCAGCCAGTTGGTATGATCATTGTTTGTCCCTGACGAATCGTGCATTTAAAGCACTGATCAACCTTAAATGAAATATTTTACATGATTAGATGCTCCATTTTAATTAATCAATATTTTCAGATTTCGTATGAGGTAATTTTAAATCCCTGTGTATACGATTTGCACGGAAATTCATGGATAAATCGAATGCATAGGTTCCGAGTAGGATATCAATTTGACCTTAAATTCAACTCTGTGACTCATAACGATCTTTTACGGTCATATTTGTATACAGCGCCTCAGATTACCTGAATGCATGAAATTTCAGTCGCTTGTAACACAAAGTATAAAAGTAAAAATTTTGTCCAACAAAGTCCCTTATTTTGAAATTTCCAAGATCGCCTTATTTCGAGGGTTGTCTCAAAAATAAGATTCCCACATTTTTTTCAGGCACAAGGAATTTTTTATTTGAAAAACCGAATTTATCATTAGAAACGTTGAGCTTTAAGATACTTTTCTACATAGTGTTGCCAGATTTCGCCTAGCATCAAGCGCGGCAAAGTTTCAGCGTTGGGAACGTTATTTTTCAAACCACCCTCGTATCTGTGATCTAGGTGATGACTCTTCGTTGGATAAATCAAGTGATAGATTTGGAACTTGAGTCCTCAAAAAAAAGTTAATGATATGAATGAAAATAGTCGATTGTTATGTTGCAGACAAATGAGAATTATTGAAAAGCATGAGGCGAGTGAAGAAATTGAAGTGGAGAGCGTGGTGCCCCTGGGAATCTGGTTGGACCTTGAAATATTTGTGTACACTTTTGAGGATTTACCCCCCCCCCTCGGAAATTTGCTTTCGCCCCACTCTACAACTTTTTTTGGGGGCAAAAAGTTATCAATGACAGGCTTCCCTGAAAAAAATTCCTATACGCGTCCATAGGGGGGCTATTCTATTCCCACTGGTAGAAGAACCATTTTGGAACGGTGCATTTAGGAAAAAGTGTTCTAACAATGCTTTGTTTTTGAAGGAGGACGATTCTGTACTTTGATCATACCAGTTTTGAGATTGTTGTGGAACAGTTTTATATCAATGAATTCGGTGCATGCAAATAAAAGGGTATCGAATGGTTATGGTAACATGCCAGAATTCAAGATAGGAACAAAACTAAAATATTGATTGTTCGATTTATTGGAACACTTTACGTACTTAAGCGCCTAAAGGAGGGCTCACTCCATTATCAAACATCCCAAAATAAAGAGAAAAATGAGCATTCAAAAAAGAAAAAAGAGTGGCTTAATAACGAGCACCTCAAATAACCACATGTACCAAGCTCCACTGACAACAATGGAGAAAAATATATATTTTTTAGAAATAGATAAGTAAGTACCTGATCACCAAAAAAGGTTTCACTCTGATTAGTTGATGTCATCCATTGTGTATAAAGTGTCAAATTGGCAGGTGTAGGTTTGACAAAGTAGAATATCTTTTCACCATGCAGCACATGGTACCAGACACTAGTTCCACCAAAGTCAATATGAAAATCGGTATAAGAATCTTTAACACTCATCAGGCAGTATTTGGAGACCTGGGGGCGTCCAGGGCAATCAGGGGGCCATACATTATTTACCCAATCGAGCTTCCTCACAATCAGAGGTGCCTCTACTAAACAGCCCAAGCTAAAAAAGAAAGATTTACTTGAATTTTACACTTAATGTCTCTTTATTATCATTATACAAGTGACATCTATTACCAGAAACAACTACTCTGAGAGTGAATAGCAGCTAACTGTTTGAACTGTAAAGCACATCGAAAGCAAAGTCCACACTGTGATATTTTGATGCTGTCGATTCTAGCTTGACAGTAGATGTAAACTAGTAATATAAACAGAGGGCTCGTTGGTCGGATGGACGAAAGCAGTACTACTGCTTTTCAAATGTAAGTAGGCTATCAACTACTATATCGCCAGAATCGACAGTATCCAATGGACACAGGCTTTTGGTACAAACTGATATACCTTTATGTAAATGTAGATATACCTCTTATTATATCATTATGTGGACTATAGGATACTGTTAACCAAGCTGGAAAATTATGGTACAACTGGAAGCCATATTTGATCTTATCTTTCATAGTGCAAGCAAAAAATTGTGATTGCTAAAGATGCTAATCCTGCTAAATCAAATGAAATTCATACATCAGTGGGCATCCCTCAGGGTAGGATTCTTGGACCCCCCCTTTTTATATAGTATTTTTGCCCATAACATATCATTATGTCTTGATTATTCCTCTGAGAGATGGTGATGCTAGTATTCTGGTCACTGTACAAAACACTGAGGAGTCCAAAAAGCTTTGATTTTTTACAGTAAGGTTTCACAATGGTTTACAAAGAACAAATTAGTCTTAAATGAAGAAAAAATAAATCTCATGATTTTCAAGTCCAAGCATGGCAATTGTATTCTACCTACTAAAATCGCTTTGACAGAGAAAATAGATCTTAATTTGCAGGAACAAAACACCACTCTTACTACATGAATAGATTCTATTGTTAGATATGATCTTCCAATGCAATTCTATTCACCAGAGGCCACAATGCAGTGCTGCCAGTCTCATATCAAATGCACTCTAAATAATTTTTGTGTGAAAGTTACTTTTATCCATTCAACCAACTGTGTATGGTGTGGAAAATATGTTTGCAAATCATCAACTAATTCAAGTTTAGGAATACTCACCTTGTGTTGGAGAATTCCAAACTAACTACATTGAATATTCTGCTACGATTCAAGCTATTGTAATACTCAATAAAATCATTCATCTTCATTTTTGCACTAGTTTGACGGCCAACATCTATTACATCAATTTCTTTATCCCTCCCAACATAAGATTCTACATCGTAATGGCTGAATGTGTCTGGAGGTAGCACAATATCCAAACCTTCTTTGCTATCTATTACAATTGGGTTACTGAAACCATGGGCCTTCAAAAGACTTTCAGTGAGTTGTTGCCCACGCATGTGCACAACAATGTCTGTTTCCGGTACAAAGTGCCTTGAGCATAGTTCTCGTATAAAAACCAATGTGCCAGTTTGTACTGGTTTGTTTGCAGCACCTTCATCCCAAAAGTCATGTCGGTGCCAGTTACAAATTGGTTTTCCTGAAACATACAATGCATTATCTGCAAGTCACATTCAATATATTTGCAAAATGCATCTGCCATATTTACATAGCATTTCACTGCATAATCACTAGAATACCTAGGTGAAGAATTATCTAGTGAATAAGCAATTAAGTGTATCATTCTACATGCGTATTTAAACTTTATGGGTGTGCCCTTTAGTAAAACTATCATGACATAAATCGCCAAAAAGTGCAGAGAGGCAGTAGACTCAGAAATCTGTTTTCAACAGCCCTTATTAGTAACTTATTAATTGTGAGATTATGTTTATTCATATTGAGTGAAAGGCATATTACTCAAATACCAATACCAAAAGTGAAAATAATACTGATTATTATAATGAGAATTGTCTATAGTAATAACTTGCTGACTGGGCTTATACAGTCTAGACACTCTTATCAATATGCTAAATTGCCATATTATGACTATGGAGTTTTATTTGCAATTGAAGCATAATTTTCCTTATTTTTCCCACCAAATTAAACTAGATTCCAGTATTTCATACTAATATTTTAGCTGTATCTTGCTAATGTTATGACTAGCAGAGGTTAGTTTCAGTCTAGAGATTCCAACTTACTTATGGATGGTCCAAAAGTAGGGGCACATCTGGGGCAATGGTACTTATCTATTTCAACTGCGAGATATTCTTGGAAATTACAGCATCTAAAAAAGTTTAAACATAAACAAAATAATATTATGGTATGTGTTTGAACTTACGTGCTGTGAAACCAATCTTTACAAGCGTCACATTGGATCATAAAGACATTTGGATCGTATGGTTGCCCGCAGAGGCAATAAGATGCTTCCATGTTACCCCAGATTAAAAAAAAATAATTTTGTAGCTTTTAAAAATGCTATGTTTGAAACATTTTTGGCACTTTGTTTTTTATTTGAAGACTGGACAGCACAAAACCACAAACATCGTTGTTATGACAAATGACACTGACATCATATCACTTTGACAATTCTTTAAACATGAATCGGTCAGTGTTGCCATTACACTATAAACGTAAATCTATCGGTGTTGCTGGCTGGTTGGCTCTTACAATGTTGGCGTTAGTTTTATCAGTTAATTGTTGGCAACACTGACATACTCAATTTCAACTTGTGGTCGGCAACTCCGACTAAACTCAAAGGCTTGTTCCTATTAATTTTACACGCATCCTGTGTTTTAGTTCTCAATTTAATCACGATCTGTTCGTGTAAACATGAGCATTGCATATTGCATAGTTGGAACAGACCTAGTTTTTACTCTGGTTAATATTGGAATAAATTCCAACTTTATTTTGTTTATATTAATTACAATTACACTTTGAACTCTGTGTTATGTGTTCTGTGCTTTGAACTTTGGAATACTAGCATATAAGTACACAAGTCGAGAAAAATAAAGAATTGCATCCAAACGGCAGATTAGTGTAGTTTAACAAAATGTTTTCCTCCTGTTCACGACAGTTTGGAAATCAGGTAAATGATGGTATTCAAAAAAGTTGAATTAATTTGTTGTAATAAGAGGTTTTTGCAGTTAAAACGATTCCAAAGTACTTTGGTCATTGCAGAGCACAATAATGAGGCACTATTGCCAATTACTCAAAATGCTATAACAGCAGCAAAGAAATTAGGATCCGATGTTTCAGTACTTGTTGCAGGCACCAAATGTGGACCAGTATGTTGCTGTAACATATGTTGCTTATTTTTTTTTTATAACATTTTTCATATTCACAGGCCTCGGAAGCTGTTGCAAAAGCAGCAGGTGTTACAAAAGTTCTAGTAGCAGAAAATGAGGCATTTAAAGGTTTCACTGCTGAAAGCTTAACAACCCTAGTATTGAATGCACAGAAGCAGAATAACTATACACATATTATAGCGGGGGCGTCAGCATTTGGAAAAGCAATCTTACCGAGAATTGCTGCTAAACTTGATGTCTCACCAGTGTCTGATGTTATCGATATCAAAGCTCCAGACACATTTGTCAGAGGCATATATGCAGGTAACATGGCATTTTTAGTGTTGATTTAGGGTTTCAATATTTTTTCAAAAAGAACCTTAAACCCAGTATTTGATCATCCTATTATGTGATCTCATCCACATTTTCTATGATCAAAAGGTCAAGTTAGAAGACACTTTGCATAGTTAGTCAATTTCCCCAAAGACGAGTTTTTCCACTTAGGGTCGTATCGTCATGCTTTTAATTGATGTCTTCTGTTATGTCTGCCTGAAATTTCCTACAATTCAAAAACAAAGGATAGTCTCACAATAGGAGAGCACTGGGTTTGGAAGCTACAGACCTGATTTACCCAGGAAACAAGTTGTTGTCTAAATCAGATATATGGGAGACTTTGAAAATTTCCTTATAGGAAGCTTTAAAATAAATTAATACTTTCAACATGCCAAACACGTTTAGTCTTGTTTACGTTCGGTGCCACTAATGTGCCTACTGCGTTTTATGTATTTATTCACTAAAGCAATCAGTTCCTATTCTGCTAATGGTAAACATCAGGAATTTCCATGAAAGTGACAAATTTTAGAAGTACTGTTTCCACTTTTGTATATTAGTATATTATGTTTTATCTTTGTTTAAAAAGCAAAAATTACAATAAAACGTCAGGAATTTCATGAAAGTAACTTGTATTGGTAATACAGGTTTCACTTTTTTTATTATTTGTATTTTATGTAAGTTTTGTTTGCAAATTTTATTGACATTGGAATAAAAAACTGAAATCACAATTCAAAGTGAAAAGCGCGAGGCGCGATGGCCATGTATGGTGTATCTGAAGTCACTTGAAATAGCATAAAAACCTTTGGTCGGCGCGTCCTTTGTAATTTCATGACGTACCATAGGCGTGCGGCATTTATTTAGAACGATAATAATAATGTTTTTATATCACAATAAATGGATTTTACTATCTTCTTATTTTTTTGATTTGGGATAAGAAATACTTATATTGGGAGTTTAATTTATGTTGACTGAAAGTTAAGAAATGGAAAAATTACAGAATTCCAACGTTTGACATAGGCAAATATTTACATAGCAGGTAGGTATATAAAAAGGTATATAAAGACTTACATTATAGGTATTTATATATCATCCTTGCCTTCGGAGCTGTCGCTAGAGTCATCTTGTAGAGGAATTACAACGGGATTTACAGGAGGCAAAACACAATATTCATTTTCTTTTTCAATAATATGCCTAGAACACTGATTCCATAGGTCTGTGGCAGCAATATGAGATACTGCATCACTTAATTGAGGGGTCTGATTATGTTTCCTTACTTTTTTTTTTAAAAGCAGCCCAGACCAACTCAATCGGGTTAAAAATGCAGTAATAGGGAGGTAGACGTAATACTTCATGGCCATTTTGCTGAAGCAGATTGTCAACAACATACTCTTTTTCAAATTTTTGTCTTTTAATAAGATCCAATAATATGGCTTTGGTTGATTTTTGTGGTATTTCCATTCCCTTATCCTTCATAAAATCAATAATGTCTTGTTTTTTTGTGCCTGTATTCGGAATTTTGTTTTTCTGTCGGGAATGGTATGGCGCATTGTCCTTAATAATCACTGAATTTGGGGAAATGTTTGGTATTAACTGCTGCTCTATCCACTTTTCAAATAAGTCGGAGGTCATGTCCTCATGATAGTCGGCACATGATTCTTTGATATTTTTGGCAGATAACAGCAAGGCATTAGGTATAAATCCATTTTCACTGCCACCATGGAGAATAATGATTCGTTTTCCACGGTTGCATGGTGCATTTAAAATGCACTTGTTGCTGTCGTCAACCCAGCCGTACTGCACAACATCATGGGTATCATACCACGTTTCATCCAGGTAAATCAGATTTCTTTTCTGCTCTCTATAGATTTTAACTTTGTGCAAAAATTCTTGGCGCAATTCAACGATTCGAGACGACTCCATAATCACCATTCTTTTATCTAATTTTTTGTATTGAAAACCACACAGTTTTACAATACAGTGCAGTGAGTCTAAGCATTTGTAATTATAAAAATCTTCAGGATAATCTTTTAATTTATCCCGTATCATTTCCAACGTGGGCACCAAATTTTCTTTATAAAATCCGTATATTATACGACGAATATCTTCCTGAAAACCCACGTCTATTCTTTTTAATTTTTGCCCTATGCGCTTTCTGTGGAAGGAATGGTTGACTACATCTCCCCTTTTTATAACCCGATAAATGGTAGACCGACTGATTTTTGTCAGCATACAAATTCTGTTTAAAATTTGATTTTGCGAGGAATCTGGATTTTCGTTTTTCAGACAATCATACATATTTAGGATTACTCTTTGGGTCTGTTCCTCTAAATCTTTATGAAAGAATTCTGCCTGCACAGGTTCATCAACCATCTCCTCGTGGCTTGGAGCATTTTCCCAAGGTCTCCAAAGAGCCATATTTAGGACACACAAGAACAATCAACACAACAATTAAATCAACAAGTAAACTGAGTATTCAAAAGTCAAAAACACACAAACTAATAAAATCTATGAAAAAACACGGACAGACTAAAGAAAACACGTTTATTCACCGCTACACGGCACTGGCTAAACTGTTTCAATTTTCAGTAGCCACCTGCACTTGTTCCGAGCTCTGAAATACACGCTTTCTCATTGGCTATGTCCACGCATAGGCGTGCTTTACTCCACGTGGACCGGTGAAACTGCATTTGATCTCTTATACGGGGGATATTTGCTGCAAAATTTGGCGATTTTTGCAGCAACAGAGCGTGTTAAATATAGATATATGAAACGCACCCGGTATTTCACAGTGTTTCAAGTGACTTCAGATAAAGTATACAGCCATACTCGCATGCTATAAACCGCCAACCCGCGTAGCGCATTCTTTTCATTTGTATGACGTTTGTGCCCTTAAGGTGCATTAGACTTCTAAACACACAACCTAGACTACTTCATACCTGTAAAAGATTCGTTGAAGTTACTTTTGAAGATACGCGTGGCACACAAGGCTCTTATTAGTAGAGATGCCGGTGGTGAACGTGTTAAAGGCCTTTGTAGGACAAATTTTCTATTTTCATCTTCCATTGTATGAGAATTGAATTTGGTACAACTAGTTGATTTGAGGTGCTGAATTCAAACATGTCTGTGAAAAAATCCTGAAATGCAGTGGGACTTAACATGAGATTAAAAATGGGTCGTTTGGGACTCCCCATGGGTGCAAGCATCAAATTGACTTCAGATTCGGCATCTATGCACCAGAATGACGGAGTAAACTAGTTCAAATTTTCGTAACAATTTAAAAAAATTACCTACTGTTATCTATTTCCAGGAAATGCCATACAAACTGTCAAAGCCAAGGATGCCATCAAGGTGTTAACAGTAAGAGCAACAAATTTTGAACCGACCCCTCTTGAAGGCGGGTCTGCTAAACCAGAACCGATTGCTGCTGAAGGCTGTGCTCAAGACTTGACTGTCTTTGTAAGTCAAGAACTCACAAAGTCCGACAGACCTGAGCTCACTGCAGCTAAAGTTGTTGTTAGTGGAGGTAAGAAAATTTGGATCATTTCACATTCAAAGTATGCAACATAATATGGAAAAAGGTAGAAAGTCAATGTCTTGTTAATTTCAATGTTTGTGTCCAAGATGCGTGAATAGTTCCTCGAAATATTTTCTTTGTTTTTCAGGAAGAGGTTTGAAATCAGCAGACAACTTCAAGCTTCTGTATGATCTAGCAGACAAACTGAATGCTGCAGTGGGTGCTTCAAGAGCTGCAGTTGATGCAGGATATGTTCCAAATGACTTACAAGTAGGCCAAACGGGCAAGATCGTTGCTCCTGTAAGTGCTTTTATAATATATTTTGCAAAAATAAATAAAAATCCCATGTATTTACATTGATAAACATATTCCACCAGAAGATACCCAACTCAAAGTCGTGCCTGCACGAAAATGGGCATATTTACCGTGACTCAGCCAGCTGCTTATGCTTTCAACTACTGACCATAAATTGGACCTTGACTATAACCTTTAAGGTCATTTGAAGGTCAAGTCGATTTTTGTTAATGGAACCCTCATTTTTGACCCCGTAAATGAACGTTGTAACGATGTATCAATCTACTTTCAGGATCTTTACATAGCCGTTGGTATTTCTGGTGCAATTCAACATTTGGCTGGAATGAAGGACAGTAAAACTATCGTAGCAATAAACAAAGATCCTGAAGCCCCAATCTTCCAGGTATCTGACTATGGGCTTGTTGAAGACTTATTCAAAGCTGTACCTGAACTTACAAATAAATTGTGAATACTTTGTCCATGTCAATTTGCAAAACTATTTTTTATAGATATTTGATATTTTTATTGTGTAGCAAGGTGAATCGAATATATGCTTATTATTTCATGACCTTATCCTTAACAGCCCCTAAAGGATCATGTTAGTCCTTACAAGATTTTTTGACGTTGACCTTGAGTCTCACCTTTAAGGACGAGTAGTACATGGAAACGTATTAGGACGTAAAATTTTCCATTGCTGGTGCTTTGAACTTTGGAATACTAAGATTTAAGTACAGAAGTCGATAAAAATAAAGAATTGCATTCAAAATGCAGATTAGTGTAGTTTAAATGATGGTATTCAAAAAAGTTGAATTTACTTATTGTAATTAACGGTTTTTGCAGTTAAAACGATTCCAAAGTCCTGGTCATCGCAGAGCACAATAATGAGAGGCACTATTGCCAATTATTCAATTTGAATCAAAGGTCATCATTAAAATCCTAATTAAAGGTAGTAACTGGGCCTGTCCTTATAATGTTTTTCATCGTTAATCCTGCTAAAGCTCCAGGAATTTACTCCATTAGCCGAACACATTTGACATTTAATGACCTTGATCTTGAATTTTGATACATAGAATTTTCCGTTTTTTTTTTCTCGATTGCCGAAGTCTAAAACCATATGATGACCTCGAAATGAGCTTATATGATAGGCTTAAGGTCATGTCCAAGGTTACCATTAAACTCGCATGTTCAAAGTTAGTATAGACCTAACTTTGAGCGTCTTCAAAAATATCTTACCGGAAAAAAATACAGAGCCTACTGTTATTTTTTTACACTCGCCGCTGGTGCGACTGCTGCCAAAATATGAGTTTGGTCAAGGCAATGCGAAACATTTTTTGAGGTCGTAAAATATGTGCAAAAACAAGCATGTCTTTATTAAATGTATATCGTAAAAGACACACTTAAAAAAATTACGTTCAAGCTTATGCCAGTTCTAAGTTTAATTGCATAATAAGTTAAAATCTTACATAATTACATTCCATATAATAGTACGCTAAGATTACTATCAATTTTTGATGTATAGATTATATCATTAATAAACGTATTTAGCAAGAAGATGCTCAACCATATGCTGTATTTGGACGTTTATTCATAATTTCGTGTTGTCAAGTATGATTGCTATAATTCCTTTAGGTGCAGTAAAACACTTCTATTCTATTTTTAACAATTTTTTTTATCAAACATGAAAGGAAAGAGCAGTGGTCAGTTTCTTAAAAATAATCCAAGTTTCCGAAGATTTTAGGTTCGCATTATTCTCAGTTGACCAATGCGGAATAGGAAAAGAAAGATACAAGCGTCAGAAACTTAAATTTTGGGTTAGGTGATCAATGTGGATTTGATGAAATCGGAACTTTAATTAGTTCCTGAGACATGGAGTAGGCAACCGCGTGTATATTGTACTGGACTATAGGTTGCCTATGTACGCGTGGACGCAAGAAGAATAATATTGATATCGTTTCTGTGTCGATATGGTCCTCGTGCCCGACGAAGCAGCTGTTTCGCGAAATCGCGATACAAAACCTCGGAGTGTCGGTGGAGACGCGTCACTGCCCTAAGCTTTGTTAAATACATGGTGTCCCTACAAAAACGGAAAGTAGTATTACGAGCAAACTGAAATATATATATGCATAATTTTAATATGTACCGGGTGTTCCATCGCTTCGTGCCATAGCACACATGTATTTTTTAGATAGAACACCCTAGAACATCTGCAATAGAGTCCAGCGCCGCCACTTTTGAAGATATTCAGATAGTCTGACCTTGGCGGTGACTTTCAAGCTCATTTTAGATTAGCTCTTTTGTTAATAGAACCCTATACTTTTGATTGCGGAAATGGAGAAACGGGAAGATTTTATGTTATGTCATTGACCACTTTTGGAACTTGACCCTGGATTTGATCATCAAGGTCAAACAAAAAGAGTACCTTGATGATTCAGAAAACTGTGTAATCTTCAGATAAACTGACTTCACTGTTCTTTCAGGATTGTTTCCTGGCTACAAAAATCGACTTGACCTTGAAGGTAATCATGGTTAAGGTCACCGTTGAATATCCGGGGCAAAATCATGAAAAAATGTCTCGGTATCTTCCCTATATGACTACTGGTTTGAAAGTTATATCACCGTACTTGGGTTTGACCTTGATCATGATCTCCCAAGGTCTAAATTTAAGAATGATCAAGACCATGTTTGAACGTAGAATGTTCTGCTCTTGTCATGTACGGGGTGAAAAATCGACTTGACCTTCACATTACCTTGAAGGTAATCATGGTTAAGGTCGCCGTTGAGTATCCTGGGCAAAATCATGAAAAAATGTCTCGGTATCTTCCCTATATGACTACTGGTTTGAAAGTTATATCACCGTACTTGGGTTTGACCTTGACCATGATCTCCCAAGGTCTAAATTTAAGAATGATCAAGACCATGTTTGAACGTAGAATGTTCTGCTCTTGTCATGTACGGGGTAAAAAATCGACTTGACCTTCACATTACCTTGAAGGTAATCATGGTTAAGGTCACCGTTGAGTATCCGGGGCAAAATCATGAAAAAATGTCTCGGGAGCTTCCCTATATGACTACTGGTTTTAAAGTTATATCACCGTACTTGGGTTTGACCTTGACCATGATCTCCCAAGGTCCAAATTTAAGAATGATCAAGACCATGTTTGAACGTAGAATGCTCTGCTCTTGTCATGTAGGGGGTAAAAAATCGAATTAAACTTCAAATGACCTTGATGTTCATGCTCAAGGTCAAATTCAAGGTCCCCATTGGATAGCTGGAGAAAACTCCCATCGATCGGGGCTTTTTCATACCATTACTAGTTCACAAATTACCGTGGGATTCCGGAACTTTGCAGACACCCTATAAAACAACAGCTATGATAAGGACAGATAGACCACGCTAGGGTATTTTATTTTATCTCGGATAATTTTTTGGATGCGTGAAGACGGCATTAGGTTGACTATCTTCAGGTAGAATACGTTAATCAATTACGTACAAAAAACGTTACGTGCTGTACAGGTATATATTTTCCATACACCAAGCATCTAACTATTTAATCCTAATATCACCAAGTTTTATAACACCAAAGAAAGATTTTCCAGGTTCAAATAAAGAGTATCTTCCATCGTATACGTTTTCTATGGATATATTGTCGCCTTCTTGCAGGTATTCCATTCCTGCAGTATAACAAGTGTTGCCTTTCATACGCCTTTCTGTAGTGTGGACAGTAATTGTACACTGTAGAATTACGTCGCTGTTTTTGAAGACCTTGTACCCGATTATGTCGTGCTCGTCCAAATAGTAGATCTGAAAAGAATGTAGAAATTACAGAAAACATTAAAATGATACCTATGTACATATATCTAATAATATGCTATTGCTTCAGACGCGCAACAGTGAACATGATGACGCCAAAATGACGTCATTATTCGGTCATTTTTGGTCGAAAACGTCATTGACTAAAAAAATGACGCCTTTATTGATGCCAGTTCTTTTTTTGGACAGTCAGTCAACACTCACCTACAAAGAAAATATACTAAGTGACATATAAATCCGAACACCCAGTTTAAATGGTTTTATTTTAATAAAATTTTGTATAAGTACTTAATGAAGCATAATAAGTAAATGATAAAAATTTCAAAATGATTGCACTGCTTTAAAGCCCTTTGACCTTTAATAATGTGTGGATGCACCCTGATGTGCTACGCATTCTCCAACGCGCCTAGGCATGCTTCTGATCAGGTGGTCAATGTCCTCCTGTGGTATCTCATTCCAGGCAACCACCAACTCCTCTCGAAGTGCTTCTAGAGTCTGAGGAGGACGTTGCAAATTGAGCAATCTCCTACCCATCATATCCCACACGTGCTCAATTGGGGATAAGTCGGGAGATCTTGGTGGCCATGGTAACAATGTGACATCATTATGTTGAAAGAAGTCTATTGTGACTCTTGCTACATGTGGTCGGGCATTATCTTGTTGACCGTTGTCTGCACCACTCAAGGCGATTACGTCGGTGTTCTCGAGTTAAAGGGATGACCCAGTGTGGCCGGTATGAAAACAAGCCAAAACTTCTCATTCATCGGTAAACACTTCGCATGCCAATAGGTCTTCCGTGTTCTGCAAACCATTCATTTGCAATGGACCTGGTAGTGGAGAAACGGTCCCTTAAGGCCAATAATCTTAGGCGGCGATCTTCACGGTCTGTTGTTCTACGGCGGCGTCCAGTGCCCCTTGCTCTTTGCGTACGGCCTTCTCGAAGCCATGCCTGACAACACCTAACCACAGTGTCTACACTTCTTTGCACTCTAACTGCAATTGCCCGAAAAGAAAGTAGAGCTTCCCGAAGTCCCACTATACGGCCCTATCAAACTCACTAAGTTGACGAAATCGTACAGGTCTCCGTACTCTAGGCATCGTAACCGATCGTAAAGGATGTCAAGAACCAAAATCCGCCAACGTTGATTCTTTACTGCGGCTGAAATATTCATTTTTAGAGCGTTAGTGAATTAAAAAAAAAGCAGTATAAAAACCGGAATGTCCAACTGATAAGGCTGAAAATTTTTTCACTTGTTATTTACAGTAAGATAAATACATTCACCAACTTTTATTAAAATAAAACCATTTAAACTGGATGTTCGGATTTATATGTCACTTAGTATATATACTTGATGAACAGCAAGATAAACTAGATATCTAAATACTAATAACTGCTTTATTGTTATTAATAAAAAGTATCAGGAATTGTTCGACCAAAAATATTTTGTTAATATGACTTTCCTAATAATAATATTCCATGTTAAGATATTTCAAATTGCCATCTTACATCATGTTTTATTCCCGTAAAAAAACAAATTTATTAGAAAATCCTCTGTATAACAATAACCAAGCTTGTTTTGGCCTCCTGAGAAAAAGCAAAGCAATTTTGATAAATTGCTACAAGCAAATTTTGAACCATCGGAGGACTGGAACGTGTTTGAGATCAAACGGTGTTTTTTACCTCTTTATTAACCACTTCGGTGCAAATGCTCCTGAAAAATTTCGAAAGTTATAACGACGTCTGGGAACGAGAGGGTTCAAGAGTTGTGGGTGAGTAAAATATGAGTTTCGGTGCCTTTCTACCACCCCCGAACTCGCTGCGTGTGGGGTGTCGTCGTCACATCCTCAATTTTTCAGGAGCATTTGAATATACCGCGCGACTATTTTTGCGAACGACTGAAGATCATATCGACGTCACATAGACGTCATAATGACCTCAGATAGACGACATACACGCGTCATATCGACTTTGTATTTGGTCTTTTATACGACATACTATGACGTCACTTATAATGACGTCAATTGGGTATGACATTAGACGGTCATAATTAAGTAGTTCAAAAACCATCAAAGTCACCTTCCATAAAATATTTTTTTTATGGGACACATTTCTTAAAAGTAGATGTGAATTTTAGGCAGAATCTATGTAAGGCAATATATTTCTTTCCCTTTAAATAATACGGCGTAATACACGTTCATTGCATAAACAACATATGACTCGAGCTCTATTCGATGGCAGGTATCTGAATAGCCATAATTGCAAACAAAACTCTGAGAATAGGTTCTTAAAATGATCCACAGAAACTGTTTTATAACCTTTTAAATGTCATTCTTCAAAGCATACCTAAATTTATGCTTACCTGGGAATATATGAAATATAATCCAGATTCCTTGACTGTCAAAATCCCCAAATTCAACTGAAAATGTGAATCCAGTCCAGTGTGGTGCGCCCACTCGCTAGGTTTCCAGTCCATAAACATCCTTTGGAGATGCTTCAAGTGACCATTCCCTGTAAATAAATAACGTCAAGTGGGTGCATAAAGGATTGTGGTAGCACAGATGAATTTTAGCTTCGATCATGTATAACAAAAATTCATCTAATCAAGTCAGCTAAGCATAATAGGAAAGAGGCGGATCTTTCAGGCGCGGATCCAGGGGGGCAACGGTGCCATTGCCCCCCCCAAGGCCACAGTCTTGCAGTAAAAAATGAAATGAAAAAGAAGGAGAGACCACATTGTTACACTGTTTATTATTTCCCTTCCTAATCACTTTATAATAAGCGCAAACAGCCTAACAATACCCCCTGAAAGTATGCAACTCACTTGCCTCCCCCCCGCAAAGACGTGATCCTGGATCAAAGGAATTGTAGACTTGTGAGTAGGAGGATACCAAAATGCGTTTTACGAGATAAGCAATTATTTGTTAAGACTCTCTAAATGCATGCTGAGCCATTTCATTAAATTGTGGAAAAACGTATACTAAGTGACATATAAATCCGAACACCCAGTTTAAATGGTTTTATTTTAATAAAAGTTGGTGAATGTATTTATCTTACTGTAAATAACAAGTGAAAAAATTTTCAGCCTTATCAGTTGGACATTCCGGTTTTTATACTGCTTTTTTTTAATTCACTAACGCTCTAAAAATGAATATTTCAGCCGCAGTGAAGAATCAACGTTGGCGGATTTTGGTTCTTGACATCCTTTACGATCGGTTACGATGCCTAGAGTACGGAGACCTGTACGATTTCGTCAACTTAGTGAGTTTGATAGGGGCCGTATAGTGGGACTTCGGGAAGCTGGACTTTCTTTTGTTGTCAGGCATGGCTTCGAGAAGGCCGTACGCAAAGAGCAAGGGGCACTGGACGCCGCCGTAGAACAACAGACCGTGAAGATCGCCGCCTAAGATTATTGGTCTTAAGGGACCGTTTCTCCACTACCAGGTCCATTGCAAATGAATGGTTTGCAGAACACGTAAGACCTATTGGCATGCGAAGTGTTTACCGACGAATGAGAAGTTTTGGCTTGTTTTCATACCGGCCACACTGGGTCCTCCCTTTAACTCGAGAACACCGACGTAATCGCCTTGAGTGGTGCAGACAACGGTCACTCTGGGATCAGGAATGGAACAGTATTGTCTTTAATGACGAGTCTCGATTTTGTTTAGGCATGCACGATGGTCGTGAAAGGGTTAGAAGGCGACGTGGTGAAAGAAGGAATCCACAGTTTTTTGTTGAAAGACATGTTCATCACACTGTTGGAGTTATGGTTTGGGGTGCTATAGCTTATGGTTCCAGGTCACCTTTAATCTTCATCAGAGGTAACATGAACGCGCAGCGTTATATCCACGAAGTTCTAGAACCCCATCTTTTACCCTATCTTGACACCCTGGCAGATCCAACTTTACAACAAGATAATGCCCGACCACATGTTGCAAGAGTCAGAATGGACTTCTTTCAACATAATGATGTCACATTGTTACCATGGCCACCAAGATCTCCCGACTTATCCCCAATTGAGCACGTGTGGGATATGATGGGTAGGAGATTGCTCAATTTGCAACGTCCTCCTCAGACTCTAGAAGCACTTCGAGAGGAGTTGGTGGTTGCCTGGAATGAGATACCACAGGAGGACATTGACCACCTGATCAGAAGCATGCCTAGGCGCGTTGGAGAATGCGTAGCACATCAGGGTGCATCCACACATTATTAAAGGTTAAAGGGCTTTAAAGCAGTGCAATCATTTTGAAATTTCTATCATTTACTTATTATGCTTCATTAAGTACTTATTCAAAATTTTATTAAAATAAAACCATTTAAACTGGATGTTCGGATTTATATGTCACTTAGTATATTTCAAATCGGATCTTTGAAGTAAGATTCAGCCGTATTGGCAATCACTGATGCTGCCTGCTGAAAACTTGGCGGAAGCATGCTTTTTTTATTGCAACTTCGAAAATACATAATCACTTTTATTTTACAAAAAATAGAAATAAAAACACATGCAATGGTTACTGTAATTTTTCTCTTCACAAAAAAATCGCGAGGATTAAATATCGCAAGGTCTTGGTGCAGAGGAAAGGAACCAAATTTGAGTTACTTTTTTTGAAAAGGAAAAATAAAGTAGGTACTTGTTGCTTTAAACGAGCGTATATTTTTAAATAAATTTGCGATTTGATGCTCCTAGCATACTCTAAAATAAAAAAATAATATTAAGTGTATTGTTTTACAGACAAAAGGTAGGTATATTTTAAAAAAAGTAAATATTTTTGTGAATTTGCATCTGGTTCCCTAATTTGTGATACTATTCAAAAAATCCCGTTCCTTTGCAGAAAGTGCAAGTGAAAATTTTATTGGTAATCTCTTCACAATCTTCATCCGCTACAATGGCTGCATTTTGCCCATTTTTCACCCTTCTTATCTTCGGAAAATCGACCCGTCTCAAATTGTGTTCCTTTCCTCTATATTGGTTAGGCACACCCTTTATCAGCAAAGTATCTCATTTCTTTCACCTTTCTTACTTAATCTGTCATCCTGTCCGTCAGTTTGCAGCCTTTTAGTACGAATGTTACTTTGTGATTTCCCTTATAATTATTTGTTAGGTGGGAACTCAATACGAAGGTTGATTCCTATGCCCTGCCCCTGACCCATTTGCAAAAAGCTACATTTAACTGATACTTTTTATTTCTACTATAAATGCCCTCCCTTCCCCAGTCTTTCAATAGCCTCAGAGTAAAAATTTTATCTTGTAAGCTGAAAACCTCCTCTACGGCAGATGTCACTTGAATGGATTATTGATGAAAAAATCAGGTTCGGTGTTTCAGCAACTTTTGACAAGGATCTCAACATCAATCTTGAATTGGACCATGAACCTCACTATCAAAGTCATATTTGTACATCAGAAAGCATTATAACTCGAACTTCCCATTACCGGTTTTAAAGTGTATCAGTTAAAAATAAGGTTGACCTTGAAATGACTGAAGGTGAATTTTAAGGTTGAATTCAACGTCATCTTTTAGGTTCTCTTTAAAAGTTACTAAAGAATATTTTTTGTGTCTGCGTATAGGCTGAAGCATAGGTCACTAGGTGCCTTATGCTCGAATATTTGATTTGATCACCATCATTGATCCACTTCACAGCTACTACACCAACAACGGTAACGTTCGAATATGGAGCTTCTCGCAAATCACAAATAAAACTGAGGAGTTCGAAGAGCGTTACTGGCACTGTGCCTACTTAAACGAAATTACCTAAATAAAGAAAAAAATCAGTTTAATTAAACCGAATATTTTAGTTACTTGGAGTAATTAAAAAATTACGGGTAATGCACTTGCTCTACTGTCACCAGATTCATTAAAAAAGCATCTGCGCAGAGGTCAGGAGCGAAGCATAAGGATCAACCCTCGTAAAGTGCTTACCGTTGAAGTTCGGATGTTGACCCAGGATGTACCTAGAAGTGTCTCCACTGAAATGAGCTGAAGGCAGCGGTTTGATCCTGCCTACCCTGGGGTGTCTTTCTGTCAGAACTTCCAAATGTTTGTGCTTGAAACTTCCGTGATGTTCGAAACTGTTCTCCCTCTCTCTGAAGTCGGGGGAATATGTAGCTTCCTCCTAGAATGTCACATAAACGGTTTTTTAAATAAACAGTGATCTAAACTAATTTTAGTACAGTCTCAGTAGACAGTGTAACATATTCTCCAAGAATATGCCCAATGCTATAACTGTATTTGGACATTCACATATAATTTCCATTAGACCATGACCAATATCAAACTAATAATATACAGTATATTCAGATAAGAGATAGACCGGATGTAAACAAAAGGTTCGGGTGATTTTCACGCTAAAGCCGCCGTCTCGACGTAAAACAGGAGCCCTCATTGGTCAATTCGCAATTAAATGCCTATGCCGAGCGGCAGAGCAGTCGTATCAAGGCAGAGTCACATTCAGGTTCAGACGTGTTACGTATGTCGTGTGCATCATTGCAATTTGATATTTCTTTGGACGTTTTCGTTTGTTATCTTATTAAGTTGTTGAGTTTGTCGTTGTTATTGCTATACCTTGTTATTGATTGTTATTGTTATCAACTGCTTGCGCAAAATGCCCAGTAGTACAGATACTGCCGATGAAGTTGTAAACTCCTGTAGTCCACCTAGGAATCGCTCTAAAAAAAGACACCTGAGTGCCGAAATGAAAGAGGTCATTTTGAATATATATAAGATCGAGCGCGAGGAGAACGAGGCATCAACCATCAAAGAAATTGTTGTGAAGGTTTCTCACAAAGTTGGGGTGTGTCGCGCATCAGTGTTTAATGTGTTAAGACAATACAAAAAAAATCACACCTTTTCTGAGTCAATGACCAGTAAACATCGCAAAAGTATTGTTAAACCATTGGATGAAGCTGATAAGCATGCGATTAGGAGGAAAGTGCATGAATTCTTCTTTAGGAATGAAATACCTACTATAGATAAAGTACTGCAGGAGGTAAATGGAGATACAACGTTGCCAAATTTCAAACGATCAACGTTCCATGCGTTACTGAAGCATTTAAATTTCAAATGGAAAAAACGGGGTCGTAATAGTTTACTACTGGATAGAGAAGAAATTGTGCTATGGAGGAGGGATTATTTAACAAAAATTGGGAAATATAGAAATCAAAACAGGAAGATTTATTACCTTGATGAAACGCAGGACACACTACAAGTAAAGTATGGGTTGATGATTCTGTAACTTCATCCAGGAGGGCCTTTCTAGATGGACTGTCCACCGGATTAAAAAATCCAGCAGGTAAATACGAGTAATAGACAACAATCGGATGTTTTTCAAACCTTGGGAACAAGGTTCTAAACATTAATTCCAGGGGGCAGATAAAACATATTACAAGTAACAAAACTTTTATAACTTTCGATAAAATGCGTGGATGTTTTATTGTCATTTTCATTTGTTAGAACTTTTTTAAGCCATGTTTTTATGTGTTTTCGATATTTCAATAATTTTTTAATATAATCTTAAAATATGTCGAATATTATAAACTTAAAAAAAGTTACTAAGTTTTATATTGTGTACCGTTCCTAATATTTCTAATCATTTTAATTCATACTTTAAGCTTTATAAAGTTATAATTTGTTAATATTAATATTTGCGCGTATTTCAGGTTCCTGATCATTCATTTTTTAAAGGTTTATAACTTTAAATTAAATTGTGAAGCGCTGAGTAATCATACGACGTTCAATATTCTTTCTTTCAATCGGACAAAATAATCCCAATTATAGCAATCTGATACTCATGTCTCAATGTTTTTTCGCTGAATGTGATGAAAACATTTGAAAAAGGTTCGCTTATTGAAATAAATCTACACAAGTTAGTACTTCGATTTCCAGGTAAAGGGAAAAGGCTCATTATCTGCCATATTGGCAGTGAGGATGGATTTGTTGTTGACGGTCTGTGGTGCTTTGAGTCTAAGAAAACTGGAGATTACCACGAGGAAATGAATGGCGAATCGTTTGAACAGTGGTTTTCAAAAATTTTACCGAACTTAGAGGAAAACGCAGTAATTGTGTTGGATAATGCGCCTTATCATTCTCGAAGAATGGAGAAGGTCCCAACAACGGCTTCAAGGAAAGTTGATGTTCAAAATTGGCTCCGCTCGAAAAATATCAACTTTGAAGAAGCAATGCTGAAAGTACAATTATTAAGAATTGTCAAGGATCACAAGACGGAATATCAAAAATACGCCATTGACGAAATGGCAGCAAGTCAAAATAAAACTGTGCTCCGTTTACCTCCATACCATTGCGAGCTCAATCCGATTGAGCTCATATGGGCAGAGGTTAAAAATTATATAGCTAAGCACAATACAACTTTTAAATTTTGTGACCTCAAAGGACTTTTCAAAGAAGCACTAGAATTAATAACAGCGCAAAAATGGGAAAACTGTATTGAGCACGTGAAAGACAAAGTTGAAAAGAGAATGTGGGAACTGGACCATATTTTAGAGGAACAAGTCGAGCCATTCATTATTGACGTTGGTGCTTCAGGCAGTAGCGATGATGAAAGCTCATCAAGCTCATCTTTCCAATAAAAGATGTCGTTCATCAAATTCGGTAAGTTATAAGTAATTATAAAGCTACTGTATTTTTTAATTAATTATTGACATTTTTGAACCCATTTTGGCAAAACCTATTCAAGAATCTACTTTCTGACAATGATCAACCATGCACATTTTTTTACGTTTTGAACATTTTAATTTGGTTACATATTTACCTAGAAATCAAAAAATTTACTAATCAATATTCTAAAAGCAATTTTAAGAGATATACGATTATTTTTAATTTAGGCTAATTTAAATGCCATTTTGAGATTATATTCGACTGTATTTCACCAAACATCAGGCGGCATCCGAAGCTGGAAATCGAAGCGAAAATTTTGTAACCCTTATGTATATTTACATCATTATATATTTCTTACCCCACCCCCACATGATCCTATATCCATCACCAATCGTATACACATCGAATTGTGCTAATTTACTACAAAGTTACGCAAAGCAGCATCTACTATCTAAAATATGTACTGCGTGACTCTTAATACGTCCCTGCCGAATGTTACAGCGTTCGATGATCACGTGGTCTTGTTTATGTCCGGTCTATCTCTTATCTGAATATACTGTAGCTTTCGTTCGTAAGACCATAGGCGACCAACCATGGATAAATGTTTCGTGCTATTTGGAAACTCTTCAGCATGGCTCGGTGTATAAGGTCTATCGATATTGGGCCAAGTACTGAGCCTTGAGGAACACCAGATGTAACAAGGCAAGATTTAGAGTATTGGTTATCCAAGTGCACCACGTGCTGACGTTCAGAAAGAAATTTATCTCTGTACTATTGAAGCCATAGTAAGATAATTTAGAACATAAAAGTGAGTGGTCTATGGTGTCGAAGGCTTTTGAGGAATCTACTAAAGAAGTAGCTTTACCATTATCTTGTTCTCTGATAATGTCATCTGAGACATGTGCTAGAGCTGTTGTAGTACTATAACCCGCTCTAAATCCCGACTGGCGTTCAGGGAGAATATTATTGGCCATAAAATAATCACATATTTGAGTTTTAACAGCTTTCTCTAAAATTTTCGAAAATACAGGTATACCGGCGGACATCAAAAAGTCAATTGCAGCCTGTTTGGATATAGATATAAACTCAAAATGACAATTTTGACTGTATTTCGAGAACCTAAAAATGCTGGTTTTAGAATTGATGCCAAGAGAATTAATGGCCTTCCAGAGGTCTCTAGTATGTATTATCTCTACCTAGACCGATATAGAGCAAAACGTTTGCAAAAAATCCGAAGTTACTGTTGCCGTCTGATAAACAATTTAACAAGATATGATCACACATCAGGCCATATCATTTCTATGAACTGATTAAGTGTTAAAGACTTATTCAAATATTTGTTGCTTACATTCGTACATAAAACAATGCTCTATAAGAAACCTGTATATTTATACAGGAAATTCATTCCTCGTCATAATATAATCTACCCCAACAGAATGATTCGTTTTCCAGATATATTCACTATGCCTCAACACAAAACCTCTATTTTCACAATATCTTTTATATTTACTGCAATCTCTTCATACGATTCTCTACTAAACAACCTGAAAAATATGAGTTTAAGCGAAATTTGAAGTTTCATCTTCTGAAAAGGCAATTGTAATGGTTTTAGTATTGAACTTTTACATTGCTTTATTTTAAATTTTTTGGTGAATATGTATAGATGTATATTTCTAATATCCGATTTCACACCAAGATTAAGTGGAAGAATAGTCGAGGCTAAGCTTCGCCAATTTATAATGTATCATTAGAAATGAAGCCGTTTATTATTATTATTATTATTATTATTAGTGATTTAGAAATATCAGTGACTAAGTCACAGATCACGAAATATCTGTCAGGCTGCCATGTTGCCAACTAGAAATGCAGTAATTCTTCTGGAAACAACAGAAACAGACTACAGAGTGTTAATCATCGGCACCTTCTTGACGCAGAATGCACAGGGGCTCTTGACTTAGGATTCTAGTTTCAGTCGATCAGTGTGATATCTCCTAAAGCCGCTCCACACTGACGCGGAAATCTCAACAAGAATCTCAGCGAAAATCTCGGCGAGAACTTCTTTGGGTACACACTCGCAAGTTTCTCAATACATTTCTCGTTCTGGATGACGATGGACGAGGAATTAAATATTGCGACAAGCTTATTACTCTGCACAGTGGCGTATTATACTTACGCCTATATTTAAGATTCGTTTGCGAACCATATTGGCTGATAGATGTCGTCGACACCAGCACCAGATTTTTCTTGGGTTAATTCTTATACCCTCTGTAGCTGGCTGATAACGAATTTTTGTTTGCTTATTAATTCTTCAATGGGTAATTCCATCAATGTACTAATACGTTTCCACGCATTGTAGGCTTTTAGTTTATTTTTATATCCTTTTAAATTTGTATTTCACAAAATCGGTTCTGCTTGAAAATATTCTAGGAATGCCAATTCTAGTTCGTAGTAGTAAATTCCACGCACAACTAATCGGCTAGTCACCTGCCACTGAGAAACGTGCGAGTGTGGAGTTAATACAAGTTCTCGAGTTCTCAGCTCAAAAAAAAAACGACAAAAATCGGAGAACAAGCCAAGAACCTGCAAAGATTATCAAAATCGTTTCCACATTCATATTTCTCATGTTTTTCTCGCGTGAGTGTGGAGAGGCTTTTAAAATTAAATTTAACAGGGAAGTCAAAGACTTACATCAGAATTGTGAAACACGTCTATAGATCTTGAAGCCAGCTTTTTTGTTGATCTTCTTTTTCTGACTCTAGTGTCATTTCTTGTGTCGTCATCTGTATCATTTTCTCTTTCCTGACTCGAAGACCTGTAATGTGAAATAAACTGATAAGAGGCAAAGATAAAGCTGTTTGCGTAAAACTGCAGAAGCCTGGGAAATATATTGCTAACATTGTAGGTGGTCAAAGTTGCAAAAAAAAACAAAAAGCATTCCCACGAACCGAAACTTTTCAAATTCGGTTATTTTGGAAACGGAACCATGTTGCTAGTACTAAATATATTGGACTCACATTTCAAAATATTCTACATTTTTGCTCTGATTTTCGGTTTCCTCTATGTTATCTGGTATCAACTGATCTTCGTTTTCTTGATAGCCATCAAAATCAGCAAACTTCATATACGTATTTTCCTGGAATCAAGATAAACTGTACTAGTAAAGAATATCTGATTGATTACCATGCTCTTGTAGATTTCTTTGGTTGTATGGTATTCCGGTCGATTGATTATGAATATTCTTAAGTTTTCCTTGACGATTCGGTTTATTTTACACTGAGCCATCTTCAGAAAACTAGCCCGTAAAAGTACAGGCCGCACAATTCACACTGCTTGAGTGGTTTTTAAAAGCTGAAACCGAAATAAATCGAAACGTCAAACAAGATATGGTAATATTCAGTCATAACCAATTGACCGAGATATCAACTAAGAAATTTGTCCTACACTAAGTGACATATAAATCCGAACACCCAGTTTAAATGATTTTATTTTAATAAAAGTTGGTGAATGTATTTATCTTACTGTAAATAACAAGTGAAAAAATTTTCAGCCTTTCATTCCGGTTTTTATACTGCTTTTTTTAATTCACTAACGCTCTAAAAATGACTATTTCAGCCGCAGTAAAGAATCAACGTTTGGTTCTTGACATCCTTTACGATCGGTTACGATGCCTAGAGTACCGAGACCTGTACGATTTCGTCAACTTAGTGAGTTTGATAGGGGCCGTATAGTGGGACTTCGGGAAGCTGGACTTTCTTTTCGGGCAATTGCAGTTAGAGTGCAAAGAAGTGTAGACACTGTGGTTAGGTGTTGTCAGGCATGGCTTCGAGAAGGCCGTACGCAAAGAGCAAGGGGCACTGGACGCCGCCGTAGAACAACAGACCGTGAAGATCGCCGCCTAAGATTATTGGCCTTAAGGGACCGTTTCTTAACTACCAGTTCCATTGCAAATGAATGGTTTGCAGAACACGGAAGACCTATTAGCATGCGAAGTGTTAATCGACGAATGAGAACTTTTGGCTTGTTTTCATACCGGCCACACTGGGTCCTCCCTTTAACTCGAGAACACCGACGTAATCGCCTTGAGTGGTGCAGACAACGGTCACTCTGGGATCAGGAATGGAACAGTATTGTCTTTAGTGACGAGTCTCGATTTTGTTTAGGCATGCACGATGGTCGTGCCAGGGTTAGAAGGCGACGTGGTGAAAGGAGGAATCCACAGTTTTCTGTTGAAAGACATGTTCATCACACTGTTGGAGTTATGGTTTGGGGTGCTATAGCTTATGGTTCCAGGTCACCTTTAATCTTCATCAGAGGTAACATGAACGCGCAGCGTTATATCCACGAAGTTCTAGAACCCGATCTTTTACCCTATCTTGACACCCTGGAAGATCCAACTTTCCAACAAGATAATGCCCGACCACATGTTGCAAGAGTCACAATAGACTTCTTTCAACATAATGATGTCACATTGTTACCATGGCCACCAAGATCTCCCGACTTATCCCCAATTGGGCACGTGTGGGATATGATGGGTAGGAGATTGCTCAATTTGCAACGTCCTCCTCAGACTCTAGAAGCACTTCGTTGGTGGTTGCCTGGAATGAGATACCACAGGAGGACATTGACCACCTGATCAGAAGCATGCCTAGGCGCGTTGGAGAATGTGTAGCACATCAGGGTGCATCCACACATTATTAAAGGTCAAAGGGCTTTAAAGCAGTGCAATCATTTTGAAATTTTTATCATTTACTTATTGTGCTTCATTAAGTACTCATACAAAATTTTATTAAAATAAAACCATTTAAACTGGGTGTTCGGATTTATATGTCACTTAGTATATTTTGTGTGAGACTTTAATTTTCCCAAAATCTCAAATTGAGTTTTGCATTTTGATTTTCCAGTTCTTTGAATTAGATATTTTCCGGATGAAAAATGCTCGTCAGAATATAATAGTACTTTCGAAATATTTTCGATTTTAGACCATTATATGGATAAAGTGTTTTTATATGTATCCTAATGGCAAGACACACTAAGAGAATTCAAAACTAACAAGGAGACCTTACATCTTCCAGGTCACCAACTCTATGTGTTGATAGAGCCGTGTTAGTGTAGTACAGGGTGGCCCATAAGTCCTTTGAGCTGGAAAAAAAGGAGTAAATCCAAACTAGTTACATTATGAAGAATTATTATATTTTGTTATCATCTTTATTGAATGGGAATTATGTTTTAAAAATCACATCGTCTAAATGCAATCCATTACGATCACGGCACTCATATAAACGACGTCTAAAATTGTCGATGACTGCGCGGCAAGTCAACACTGTAATGCTTGCCATTTCTCTTCGGATATTTTCTTTCAGGACATCAACTGATCGCGGAGTGGTGTCGTACACTTTACTCTTGAGGTAGCCCCATAAAAAGGAGTCCATTGGGGTCAAATCTGGACTACGTGGTGGCCAGGAAACGTCTCCTCTTCGAGAAATTACTTTGCTGGGAAAACGTTGACAGACGACGGGCATAGAAGTGTTGGAGGTGTGGGCAGTTGCTCCGTCCTGTTGAAACCAGGTCTGCGTATTATAGCCTGGAAAATTCTGCAACGCTGGTGTCAAAAACTCTTCTATCATTGCTACATACCGCTCCGAAGTAACAGTTAATGCGCGACCTCTGTCGTCCTCAAAAAAATAAGGGCCTACGATGCCATGCGCTGACATAGCAGCCCAAACTGTAACTTTAGGGCTGTGTAAGGGCTTCTGATGCTTACGCCTTGGATTTTCGGGGCTCCAATAACGGCAATTTTGTTTATTTACATGCCCGTTTAAATGGAAGTGAGCCTCGTCCGAGAACAACACATTATTGAGCGAAGAAAATCGATTCAACATTTCATTCGCAAAGTTTAGTCTCTGAATAGCGTCATTATCTTTTAATTCCTGCACTAACTGAATTTTGTAAGCGTGCAGACGTAAATCTTTCCTTAAAATCCGCTATAAAGATGTTCTGGGTACGTTTAGTGCACTGGAACGCTTACGAGTAGACTGGGTAGGATTTTGACAGACTGTGCCACAATGTTGATGTTTTCTTCAATACGAGTTGTCCTTGGTCGACCCCACCGCTGTTTATCTAACGTCGAACCAGTCTCTTCGAACTTAGCAACTCAGTTCTTAATCGTTTGAGCTGTTGGACACTTTGTAAAATTGTGTAAATTGTGGTATTCTCGATATTTACGCCGCGCAATGGTTGCCGAATCATTATTTTGATAAAACGCGCGCACACAAAAAGCACGATCCGCTCCAGTGGAACACTCCATGGCGACTGAATTCCCAGACACTGAAGATACTGCCCCCACCTCGCCCGCGCCGCTCGCGCTCACCCGTTAAATTTTATTCAAATTTGAAATTTCAAAGGACTTATGGACCATCCTGTATATTCCTAAAGTCTTAAAGTGTGCAACTTAAAAGTAAGGACGATATTTCTTCGAAAAGGTCAGTCTCACCATTTGTCCAAGTTTCAAAAATTCTTGAATGCACATGTAAGCATGTAAGGTTGTATTCACTCTACGTTATAATTTTTCTTTTCTTTGTTCAATTCTTTGTTTGTTAAGAATACATATGTAATTTAGGTTATGAGCACTTTAGCTGTGTGTTTGTAGGCATTTAAATGAATAGTTTGTTTTACCTAACCGGTTGAAATACTGATGTGAAATTGCAACAGAAAACCTTTATTGTTTTGTATCTCTTTTACAATCTTTATTTTGTATTCATATAGTCAAGTGTAGGAATAGCTTTAGCTAAACTTCCGCATAATAAATCCCACTTATGTAGCTTTGCACAAAGAAGCAAAACCTCATCTCGTGAAGATTCCATACGACTTTATTTAATTAGCCATCATCAGTCATCAGCACCAATTTTTCAGAAAATTATTAAATCCGCGGGGTTTGCATCGAAGCTTTCTGACCAAAGAGATTTTCTGTGGAATGTAAATTATGTGTGTTTTACCTTAAATAAGTTGAAAAAACTTTCTGCTTGCTCGAAGGTTTTTTATTTCTTGCAATCGACGCAAGTTAAATTTATGATTTGTTCGTTTATATGGCAATTATCATCCATTAAAATGTACTATTAAATGGAGTAAATAATAGAAATGATATATAATTTATTCCTCAATGTTCAATGCATATTGTTATTTACAAATCAACAGCAATTTCGTAATTTCTTTTCGTGCAATTAAATGAATACTTTTGTAAAATCATCTTACAAAAAAACCTTACAACCTGCCTATTCTGACATAATAATTTTCGTAAGTTAGCATTTTTTGAAACTTTGACAAACGTTGAGGCTGGCACTTTCGCGAAAAATCCTTTATTTTTGAGTAAGGAATATACGACACTAGCAAGTCTCTTTCAAGACATAGAACTGGGGCCAAATCGTAACCCGAAGAATGTAAAGTCTCTTTAAAATATACTAAGTGACATATAAATCCGAACACCCAGTACAAATGGTTTTATTTTAATAAAATTTTGTATAAGTACTTAATGAAGCATAATAAGTAAATGATAAAAATTTCAAAATGATTGCACTGCTTTAAAGCCCTTTGACCTTTAATAATGTGTGGATGCACCCTGATGTGCTACGCATTCTCCAACGCGCCTAGGCATGCTTCTGATCAGGTGGTCAATGTCCTGCTGTGGTATCTCATTCCAGGCAACCACCAACTCCTCTCGAAGTGCTTCTAGAGTCTGAGGAGGACGTTGCAAATTGAGCAATCTCCTACCCATCATATCCCACACGTGCTCAATTGGGGATAAGTCGGGAGATCTTGGTGGCCATGGTAACAATGTGACATCATTATGTTGAAAGAAGTCAATTGTGACTCATTATCTTATTGGAAAGTTGGATCTGCCAGGGTGTCAAGATAGGGTAAAAGATGGGGTTCTAGAAGTTCGTGGATATAACGCTGCGCGTTCATGTTACCTCTGATGAAGATTAAAGGTGACCTGGAACCATAAGCTATAGCACCCCAAACAAACCATAACTCCAACAGTGTGATGAACATGTCTTTCAACAAAAAACTGTGGATTCCTCCTTTCACCACGTCGCCTTCTAACCCTGGCACGACCATCGTGCATGCCTAAACAAAATCGAGACTCGTCACTAAAGACAATACTGTTCCATTCCTGATCCCAGAGTGACCGTTGTCTGCACCACTCAAGGCGATTACGTCGGTGTTCTCGAGTTAAAGGGAGGACCCAGTGTGGCCGGTATGAAAACAAGCCAAAACTTCTCATTCGTCGGTAAACACTTCGCATGCCAATAGGTCTTCCGTGTTCTGCAAACCATGCATTTGCAATGGACCTGGTAGTGGAGAAACGGTCCATTAAGGCCAATAATCTTAGGCGGCGATCTTCACGGTCTGTTGTTCTACGGCGGCGTCCAGTGCCCCTTGCTCTTTGCGTACGGCCTTCTCGAAGCCATGCCAGACAACACCTAACCACAGTGTCTACACTTCTTTGCACTCTAACTGCAATTGCCCGAAAAGAAAGTCCAGCTTCCCGAAGTCCCACTATACGGCCCCTATCAAACTCAATAAGTTGACGAAATCGTACAGGTCTCCGTACTCTAGGCATCGTAACCGATCGTAAAGGATGTCAAGAACCAAAATCCGCCAACGTTGATTCTTTACTGCGGCTGAAATATTCATTTTTAGAGCGTTAGTGAATTAAAAGAAAAAGCAGTATAAAAACCGGAATGTCCACCTGATAAGGCTGAAAATTTTTTCACTTGTTATTTACAGTAAGATAAATACATTCACCAACTTTTATTAAAATAAAACCGTTTAAACTGGGTGTTCGGATTTATGTCACTTAGTATATTATCTCTGATTGACTATTTAATTCAAAGCAAAAATTCGATCGCTCATAGCTCAAGAACAAAATAACAAGGTGCCGTAGGGCTTTGTGGATATTATCTCATCATTAACTTCCATTTAACACACAATTGAATCAATTTAGTGGGATCCGCCTAACAGGGCAAGATTTCATTCGCTCTTTCATTAGCCAAATTTTCTAATTACAATATCTTCTATCCACAACTAAATGGTTATCTGTGTATTGTGCCACACCCTGTCTAGTACGTTGAATCTAATAAAAACGCTTAAAAACATTTTTACGCTGTTTATAAGCAAAACCATTGACACAATTTTAACTTACCTCATCACTTTTGTAGCTCACACTGTTTAAATTTCCACTAACAATAATTTTCAAAGCTTCAATTTCTTGACTCATACTGTTCAAACGAGTCACCACCAACAAATTCACTACCAACAAAAATGTGATAAAAATACAAACAATGCATTTACAAACAGCGAGACTTTTAGAATTTGGCACATCCTCGTCTCGAGCTCCAACCACCACGACGTGATTTTTTTGAATCATTTTTTTGTTATACTTTTCCGTAAATATAAATGCAACTAAGTTTAGTATCACATTCGTCTAACTGGCTACTCGGGTCAGTTTGATAAGGACCAGATGATAGCGTTTATCTCCTTGTCAGTCAATATAGGAACAATTACTACTCATTCGTAGAACCAATTTAGCTTGCATGCGTTAGTCAAAATTTGCAGATTGTTTGTTTAATTTAGGACTTGCCAGGGTTAGTCATTGGACAAAGCAGGCTTTGTATCCTAATAGTTATTAATGATTAGGAAGAGTCACTCATCTTTGGATATACACTACCAATCAAAAGTTTCCGGATAATGACGACTCATACTTAAAACTAACAAAAGACATGTAAGGAGGGTTATAGTGACGCAATACTATCATTTTTATACAGGGTGTTTCAATATTTTTTGAGGGTGGAAAGTACACCCAAAAATAACCTAAAAGGTCCCTATAAATATGGGTCCAAAGATGCTCCCATTCCGAGATACAGGGTGATGACGTTTTATTTGCGAAATTTAAAAAATATATCTACGGAGTGGGTAAAGATACAGAGTTAATACTTCAGACATTCAGTGGGCATATCATAATCAATAAACATACACAGCTTTCCGGTCCAAACAAAGCCAGGGAGGTAGAAACTGGGCGAACCCGGGGACCTAATAGAAAATATCTTCTACACCACTGCCCTTTTCGGAGAAAAGAAGTGAATTTTATCAGATGCCATTCAGTTTTCCAAGAGTTTTGTCTCGTAAGGAATTTTTGTCAGATCACTCGTTTTGGAGATATTTAGGTTTGAATATTGGTGAAATCCTAAAATATTCTCATGAAAATGCTTGGCATCCCCTATCCTGAAAACACTATGAAGCTTGATATTGGAAACACTATACGGCATGTGAAGAAATCTGTGGCACCTCATAACAACATTAATTGAATCATGATGTGTGTCTTATCCTCAGTCAGTGGCGTAGAAGTTTACCATTCATTAAACCTTCTAAATGCACGCCACTGGTTCTCACAACTAGTTGAACACCAAAAAATAATAAATCTACATATCTAAAAGAAATGAAAAGAATATAAAAAATAAGCGACTGTATTATTCATCTGAGTATATCGTTCAGCTGATTTATCAAAAAAAAAAGACGCGACAGTCAGCATTAACATCACACACGTCACTAATAATATTAAAATTAGCCTGAATAGCGGTAAGTTGAAATTCAACTATGAATAGATGCATACTATACAAATATATCTTGTTATGCAACGGTTTATATTAAAATATTGCCGAAAATTGAACGCGCCTCTAATCAAGGACTGACAAACCAAACCCATAACACAGATTAACCTCAGAAATGTCCGTTATAGGTTTGATATATATAGGTCTGATATTTTTAGTTGATATGATAGTTAAAAGCCAGTTTTTCATCGAACCATACATCCAGATCCTTAATTTGATCATTCCTTGAGATATCATTATTCGCAACCTTATATTCATCATGAATTATTTGCTTTTTTCTTGAAAATGTTAGAATTTTGCATTTAGGTACATTCAAGTAAGCTTGTTGGTTAGACACCAATCGTGGATAGAATCAAGGTTTTGCTGTAGAACAAGTAGACAAGTTGCAAGATCCTTTATGTACAGTAAAAATAGAAGCGGACCTAAGTTGGAACCTTGCGGTACACCTGAAGCTGCTATATATTCTTTAGATACAAAACAATTATAAACATATATTGTGACCTATTTTTATTTATTTATTTACTAGTGTATATACACTATCCGAATGGTTTATTACACCATTTAACGGATAGGGACACAGGAATTAATTTTAAGACATAAAATTATTCTAAAATAACTTAATATTGTCAAATGATTTAACCTACTGTTATGTAATCCGCAAATTACAAAAGAACAAATCTACAACGTTTTTTGCACGTTCATAGTTGTTACATAATATACAGGGTGGCGTATCGAAAACGAAATAGACGCATTTACTGGCAGCTCAGTTTTTTTTTGGAAAAAAGCTTTGTTTTCGAGGGGGACACAAGTTTGAGCCTGGGCGGGAGTGACACCCACCCTAAAATCTTAAATGGACAGGGGGGTCGAGTGATATCTTATTTTAAAGCTCTTTCAATTCCCATTATAATGATGTAAAATACATGAGCTTCAGTTCAGTAGTTTTGAAGATTTATTCATTTAAAGATTAAAGTAGACTTCAATAGGTACATCAGATTATTTTGTACTACTTTCATAAGAAATTTGACTAAAAGAATTTACTTAATAAGTAAATGCTTTTCTTCATTACGCTCATGGTTTGTTTATCATTTTGTTGTTGAAAATAGCTATTGGAGCGTTTTTTTTTGAGACAAAAAAGTTATTTCTTGAAGAAAGATCTCGTACTTATTTTAAATAGGAATTTAGTACATAGTTTGAGATTGATTTGACTAAACTTTGTTCCTAAAATAACTTGTAACGCTTTATTACATAAATTAACCATGGTATATTCCACAGCAGAAATAGTTGAAATTATCGAAATATTTTCCGGAAATAATCAGTGCGCTAATAGAACAGCAGAAATGTTTAATGAGCGACATAAGAACAGTAACGTGCATCGAAAATATGTTCTAGAACTTGTAGCTAAATTTCGGGAAACTGGGTCAGTCGCCAATAAAAAACGCAACATTGAAAATCTCATAAGGAACGAAGCAATAGAAGTGGGGATTTTCGGGCAAGTTTATGTAGATCTTACGTTAAGTACCCGCAAATTGGAGACTGTATGTGGTGTTAGTCGACGTACTGCCCATCGGATTCTGAAGGCCCATAGTTTTCATCCGTATAAAATTCACCTGGTACAAGAACTTAATGAAGACGATTTTGATCGGAGATTACAATTTTGTGAAGATATGAGTGAACGAATTATAAACGATGAACATTTTCTATTCAACACTTCAACAATTATTACATTATTAAAATCCCTACAATTCCTGATAATGAAGCTCAAACTTTTATAGGCCTTGCTAACGACAGCATCAATATGCGAAACAAATGTAAGTTTGGTATCAAATAATATACCTAAGTCATGAAACTCTTCACACATGCTAAGTTGCGAATTATCAGCGTTATATATGAATCCGATTGGAACAAGTTTGCGCGTAATAGACATAATGTAGCATTTATCAGCAAAAAAAAAACAAGAGTCGGTCAACCCTCGCGTAATTCGACAGTGTATATAATTATTTCTTATCTCTCTCATTTTTGAAATTCAGCAAATTGACATATGTAATTTCAAGAATGGATCAGAAAAAGTGGATGCGCAACTAATTTCCAGGATCTTTGGCTTTTTTATCCCGGCTTCTTCCCAACTACGGTCACGATTGACGAGAAGTGTTCGCGTTATATCTTCAAGTGTCAAGCACAGCCGGTGCGTCGTTACGTGCATCTTCAAAAGCGCATTTTTGCAGGCGTTAAAGTCAGGTGCAACGGTGCATCGACTCGCCCTAACTTGGTACCCATATAAGCCTTGTCGTGCAGTGCTCGTGTGTGCCTCGGTGGTTATAGTTACGTCATTTTAGTGCAATCATCGATTAGAGTACGAGGATTATTTTTACAGTAAGAACCTATTGCGCATCGCGCCCACACATTGTCCGTTTATACGGTCCAATAAATTGAACAATATTTTAACCTTGATGAAGTTGGAGCGTGTAAACAAAAAATCAACTTTTTCACAACAATAAATGCATGAATAAATTGTCAGATTACAGCTTGTTCTAATATTTCATCAATTTTTTGGGGAATTCTAGTTACCTTTGGTTCTTGGTACACTCCAAAAATAACGCTTATATGTTGAAGTTTTCGCAAAGTTGAATTCAAATTCAACGTAGACTTTAACTAATCCTAGTAATTTCTCATATAATACATATTGGCTCAGATTGGTTAATTCGAAAACTTGTATAAACTACAATATGTATACTTTATCTGAAATCACTTGAAACACTGTGAAATACCGGGTGCGTTTTATATATCTATATTTAACACGCTCTGTTGCTGCAAAAATCGCCAAATTTCGCAGCAAATATCCCCCGTATAAGATCAAAGGCAGTTTCACCGGTCCACGTGGAGTAAAGCACGCCTATGCGTGGACATAGCCAATGAGAAAGCGTGTATTTCAGAGCTCCGAACAAGTGCAGGTGGCTACTGAAAATTGAAACAGTTTAGCCAGTGCCGTGTAGCGGTGAATAAACGTGTTTTCTTTAGTCTGTCCGTGTTTTTTCATAGATTTTATTAGTTTGTGTGTTTTTGACTTTTGAATACTCAGTTTACTTGTTGATTTAATTGTTGTGTTGATTGTTCTTGTGTGTCCTAAATATGGCTCTTTGGAGACCTTGGGAAAATGCTCCAAGCCACGAGGAGATAGTTCATGAACCTGTGCAGGCAGAATTCTTTCATAAAGATTTAGAGGAACAGACCCAAAGAGTAATCCTAAATATGTATGATTGTCTGAAAAACGAAAATCCAGATTCCTCGCAAAATTAAATTTTAAACAGAATTTGTATCCTGACAAAAATCAGTCGGTCTACCATTTATCGGATTATAAAAAGGGGAGATGTAGTCAACCATTCCTTCCACAGAAAGCGCATAGGGCAAAAATTAAAAAGAATAGACGTGGGTTTTCAGGAAGATATTCGTCGTATAATATACGGATTTTATAAAGAAAATTTGGTGCCCACGTTGGAAATGATACGGGATAAATTAAAAGATTATCCTGAAGATTTTTATAATTACAAATGCTTAGACTCACTGCACTGTATTGTAAAACTGTGTAGTCTTCAATACAAACAATTAGATAAAAGAATGGTGATTATGGAGTCGTCTCGAATCGTTGAATTGCGCCAAGAATTTTTGCACAAAGTTAAAATCTATAGAGAGCAGAAAAGAAATCTGATTTACCTGGATGAAACGTGGTATGATACCCATGATGTTGTGCAGTACGGCTGGGTTGACGACAGCATTTTAAATGCACCATGCAACCGTGGAAAACGAATCATTATTCTCCATGCTGGCAGTGAAAATGGATTTATACCTAATACCTTGCTGTTATCTGTCAAAAATATCAAAGAATCATGTGCCGACTATCATGAGGACATGACCTCCGACTTATTTGAAAAGTGGATAGAGCAGCAGTTAATACCAAACATTTCCCCAAATTCAGTGATTATCATGGACAATGCGCCATACCATTCCCGACAGAAAAACAAAATTCCGAATACTGGCACAAAAAAACAAGACATTATTGATTTTATGAAGGATAAGGTAATG